AATGCTTAAGCCTGTATAACTGAATATATTGTAATTACATTACAACATCGATGCTGTAAAAACATACGTAAAAATATTCGCTCTAAGCTTTCACCGGAAGTTTAACATTGGCTTTAAAACTGTAGTTGTGCAAAAACCGTTTTTTAAACATTTGCATATTCAGGTTGCCAGAACACAGTGGCCATGTAAACAAATGTTCAAAATGCATGAAAAGTTTAACTTTTTTTTATAATACTTTATTTATTTATTTTTTTAAGGAAGAAAGAAGAAAAAAAAATTCTAATTAAAAATACAATAAACAGGTCACTTTAACAAATACAAATAAAGATCTGTTTATACCAGGGGTGCCCAGACTTTTTCTTATAAAGGGCCAAAAACCAAACTTGATTGAGGCTAGTGAGCTAAAGGTAAATCAATTTGCCATGTGTAAATTCCTATTTTATTTATTATAAAAGTAACTAGAAAACATTGATTTATATGAACTAACACAGCAATTTTTTATATATAAATTTTATAACGAAATTATTATAGTAAAAACTAAAATAATCTCATTTATAACAAATGGAACACTGTTGAAGTAAGCACTAGTTTTTGCTTTGATTTGCTCACCATATTTTTCTATCCATTGAGTGACATTAAAAAAAAACATTTTCAACATTAAATTGAAACATTTAATTTCAGTTTGCTTTTTTGTAGATCAGCAATAAAACAAACAAACAAACAAACAAAAAAAATGTTATCAACCCTCTCCATCCTTTTCACTCTCTTCTCTGATGGGACGGTGGGCCAAATCAAAGGTTACAATGTGCCAATTTTTCCCAAGTTTAACATATTTGGTTTTCAATGGTGTTGTGTAAACTGCTTTTAGATGCATATTAGTATAGCTTAAATATTTATGTGCATTAACAAGTCTGAAATATGACTTTGAAAACTCTTAAATGCTATGACTGCTAAAACCTTATATTTACCTTTGTTATTTGTTTGTTCTTGAGTCCTGACTGCTCAGGTCTGTGTTATACACTCATATTGGTTTGCTCTCCTCCAAACAGATGGCCACTCTCAGTGACGTACATCAGAAAGAGCTGGACAGCCTGTCCATGTTGAGGACCTCAAATGAGTCAAAGTTCCAGTCTTCGCCCAGCTGTTTGGCCCCCACAGTGTGCTTGTGTCACACCGTCCCTGCGGGCCCCATGCTCCAATGTGAACTCTGCAGAGACGCCTACCACAGCGGCTGCGTGCCAGGCTTCAAAGACATCCAGATAGGGCAACCCTGGTTATGCCCACTCTGCAAGCGTTCTGAGAAGCCACCCCTGGATAAGGTGCTTCCTCTGCTCGCATCCTTACAGCGGATTCGGGTACGGCTTCCTGAGGGCGATGCTCTGCGATATGTGATTGAGAGAACGGTGCGCTGGCAACACAAAGTGCAGCAGGTTTCTCTTCCTACACTGCATCCAAACGGAAAGGTGAGAATTTTGTGCTCCAATATAAACAGCTCGTAAGATAAATGCTTTGATTTAATTTGAGGATGTTTCAATTTATTTATTCGATGCAGGCAAGGCACATTTCTGGTTTTACATCATCTCAGACACTGGAAGGGAGCAACAGTTCTTTCTACATGCTGCAGCCGTGTATTCCTCTCAGTGGTGAGTCGGTGACCTCTGATGTTTTAATAAATCTCACAGAGTGCTTGTAAACGTCTGGATGTGAACAGCTGGGAACCTGTGGTGTGTTCTAGAGCTCAGTGCTGAGTTGGAGGAGCTGCTGGTGGAAGGGCTTCTCCTGCAGGTGACTTTGCCGGAGCTCCAGCAGCTTTATAGCAGCCTGATCAACAGGTTTTCACCATCACAGCACTCCCTGCAGAGCAGCGAACATGATCACCAGTATCACATTGCTCAAGATCGAAGTCCACCTCACAGGAGCCCCTCGCACAGCAAAGGACAGGTGGGAGAACATGGCCAACTTTCTTACTGATACTTTAGTAACATTGACTTTGCAGCATTGCAAATTATTTTGGTTTTAAACCTGAAGTTCCCAAACTGCATATGCATTTTGACCCTGAACTCTTTTTATGGTCATTTGAAAAGGCTTGAATTTTAGTCTAGTGTTTTCGAGGTTTGAAAAGTGCTTAGATTTTAGATGAAGTGCTTAAAACTTAAAAATAATAATTTATCCTAACAAATAGGTGATAATAATAAATAATTAAATTCCTCCTTCAGAAATTAGACCTTTTTATTAATGTTTACATTTTTAAACAAGTGGCAAGGGGAGTGGCATGCATTGCAAAATAATCAACTGTATGAAATACGACCTGAAATCTCAAACAGAGTTTTAAGCCATTTTAAGACCAGATTTGATCAAGTGATTTTTACCAGATGTCGTATTGGACATACAAGAATAACCTATGATCTTTTGCTCAAAGGTTAAGACGCTACTCAATGTTTGTACTACATAATTCCTCTCACAGTAAAACACATTTTACTGGACTGTCCTGCTTTCCAGAAAAATTTTTTGTGAAATAAACTCTCTTAAAGACATTTTTAGCAAAGTGACACTAGGAAAAATATTAGAATTTTAATCACGCGTTAGCGGTTAAAATCCTGTTTAATTGATGTATTCATTTGTCTGTTGCTTTTTAATTGTAGATTTATTTTTTAAATGATCTTGCCATGAAAATAGCCTTGGTTGCTGACATGGCATTAAATTAAAAATCCATTAAATTACATTCATTTTTTTTTTTTTTCCTTTACATAAAATGAAAATTCTAGAGACTCTGCATGTGCCTGTTGTGTGCTACCGTTTTAGTCCTTTTCAACATTGGACTTGGGGCAAACATGCCATGTTTTTCTTTAGAATACAATACTTTAGAATACTATAGCAAATAGCATTTGATGTGAATTAAATATGTAATTTGCCACACTAACAAATGCTAAAAAACCTTAAACACATCTGGAAAGTGCTTGAAAAGTGCTTTAATTTGTCACAAATATGAGAAAATAGTTTCTAAATAAATCTGTATTATCTTCAGTAATCAAAAAGTATTCTTAAAGTGTTTAAAGGTGCAATTTTAAAATGTTTTAATCAAATATTTGTATATTTATTATACAAAAAATACAGTGGAACCAGTCATTACGTTGCACAGTGCTCATTTAGTAAATCAACAGCTAAACATTATGCTAATTGTGCCCATTAATGTTAAGTTAACAAACATTATGCCAAGTCGTCACAAAAAAACAATGCATGGGAAATTGCTTTGGCCAGCATGTTAGTAGCAGTGCACTAGGCAGCAAGCTAACGTTGAGTAGACAATTAATATTTAAATCGCTAATTTAGCACATTCATGGAAAATGGCTTTGGTACTCAGCATTTCTGCCGCAGCTAACTCGGATAGAGGGGGACACATCTTCCCCCCGGAATTTACACCCATGTGCTAATGTCATAATAAATTACAAAATCTAATTTTTTATCACAAAAGCTGAAGTATAAGACTTCTAACTGATTTTGAATGGCTTTTGTTGCATCTAGGATGCAGTTCCAGAAATCAAAAAGGAACACGAAAAGCTGGAGAAGAACAGCAAACGGCGCCTAGAAAAGGAAATCACAGAGGGCCAGTACAGAGACAAGATAAAGAAGCCTAAAAAAAAGAAGCCTAAAATGATTAAAGAGAGGAGAAGAGAGGAAAAACGAACCACCTCCCCCTCCAACTCCCTTTCTGACCCATCAAATTCAGACGACTCTGAGGAGGACTGGTCTGTGTGCTCGGCAAAGCGATGCCAGCAACCAGAAGGAAACGAGGTTAGTTCTAGCACAACTGAAATGTTTTTGTTGCTAAAGCAGTGCATCATTCTTGCTTGCGTAATTGGTTTATTTTAAGGCTCATGAATAATTAACACACTTTTCCTCGTCCTCTCAGGTAAACTGGGTCCAGTGTGACGGCAGCTGTAACCAGTGGTTCCACCAGGTCTGTGTGGGAGTGTCTGCTGAGCAGGCCGAAAACGAGGACTACATCTGCGTCAGCTGCGCAATAAACGATTTGTCAGAATAAGGACCAAAATCATGTTTTTTTCGAAGGATAGTCAAAAAGGCTCCCCGTTTTGCACATAAGTTACAGCACCAAGAATGCACCAGATATCATCCTCTTACTGAATCCCGCCCTCCTCGCTCCCTTGGTGCTACTGCCTTCTTGATAGGACTGTTAACAAGAAAAAAATCTGTATGATTCTTCAGCTTTTTGTTTTGTATTTTTGAAGATTTCCTTCTATAACACTTTTCTTTTCCTTCTCTAGAGAACGTGATGCATAGATGTACCTCAGGGGTTTCCATCCCATAAATGCAAAACAAAGGGGAACTTCGGCATCCCCAAAATGTATTTTTGTTCATATTTATTATTTTATTTCTTTCCCCAATCGCCTTGAGAATTTCTTAACATGAATTTGTCGATCTGGGCTATTTACACCAAATAATATTAATTGGACTAATCAAAATGGTCTAAAATTATTTTTGGAACCCACTGTTTTGGTACATGTGTCTAATAATATAAAATATTATTTATTTATCCCAGCAATAACGCGGCTGGTTACCCTGATTTTTCAGTAGCTTGAGATCTGCTCTGATCTGTTGCTTGATGCATTAGAAGTGTTTGTACAGAATCCTAATGTAGGTTGTCAGACAAAAAGAGATGTAGCAGGCAGAAGAAAAAGCTGTGTGAAAATATACTTTGTGATGTATACTGTGGCTTTCTTTAAAACAGATCTTTTCCGATGTTAATTCAACTGTGGAATAAAATGGTTTGTTCTCACCTACAAACACTGATTCACTTCTGGTGTCATTTGTGTGCAACTGAATAAGTGGAAAAGCATAAACACGAGCATTGAGCGTTAGATGGCGACAAAGTGGGGCACATAAAGGCAGTTGAAAGTAGCTGTTCAGCCTCCTTTCCTCTGGATGGAGCCATTATGGTTATGAAAGCGCCAATGATTCTCGAATGGCAACATTTCATCGTTTCATAGTCCCTCCCTGAACGTGCATTGGCGCGCTGTGCATCCTTCCGTCGGCTCCCCGGTCATCTCTCCGTTAGCCTCGGCAAGACTGGCGAAAATATGGCGGGTATGAGCGCGTCGGGCCCCGGCCCGGTTTCGAGTCTCGACCAGGTGGATAAAGGATTGAAGGAGACTCTGATAGACGCGCTGAACGCCATTCTGTCCCCGGTGCAAGAAGTGCGAGCGGCGGCGGAGGAGCGCATTAAAGTGCTGGAAGTGACGGAGGGTAAGAACTGACATGAGATGCAGCCACAACATGCATGACACCATGTGAAGAGCACAACTATTTAACACACAGACCTTGCTGGACTTTGTTTCACAGTTCAAATGCTGATTTTGTTGTGTGTTTTGGCCGTGGTTATAATTCATGTACTTACGATGCATTGTTAAAAATATTGAATGGAATTATGAGGCGAAGTGTGCAGCCGATTTCAACATGTTCCCGCATTTGTAACTTGATGGTTGTTCAGTCATAAGGTAAATAATACGAGTGAGAAGTTTGGCTGTGCTCTTCTACATCAAGTTAGTTCTACTTTTGCACTCGTTTTCCTAACTTTATGGTTATAAAAACGCCTTTCTAAGTGCAATTTCCAAGTTATTGTTCCCGCCCAACTCACTCTCTGTTTCCTCATGTTAATGTTGCTCCAAAACTATATCACTTTTACATTTATTTTATTGGTCTATTTTCAGTCTGACAGCCTCAAAAAAACATTTTATTGGAAAGAAATATCCATACAATTAAAGTGAATGGTGATTCATTTTTGTGTTTCACGAAAGAATAGGGTCAATGGTTAGATTTTGGTTAAACTAAGTTACCCCTTAAATGTTCTGTTTTATTAATATTTTATCATAGCACACTTCTTCATCCTTTTCTTTCGCTTTCTGATTACAATGCCAAAACACAGCTGACCACTTGAGGATTATTCTAGTGTCCATGTTAATATTAAGTCCAAATACCCACTATCATGATGGTTACATCACCCAGTATTTTTAAAGTTGCTTTATTGCTTGGAGTTTTGTGGCTGTTTCATCATCTTTATTTTGGGAGAAAGAGCATAATCCTCTTTATTTTCACTGATTGGGAATCTGTAGCGTTGACTAAAGGAATAAAATGTATAAATATAGAGATCAGTAATGGAAAAAGGTGAATGCATTAATAATGTGTTTTGTATGTTGACTTTAAGTGAGAAACATGTCTCTTTAGTACTCATGCTGAAAACGGTGCTGTTCAATATGTTTGGAGGAATGAGCCATTTTTGTGGATCAAAGACAGTCAAAATAACTAAACATTTATTTGAAACCTTTTGTTTTATAACAGGTATATAAAAAAACCTTCACTATTACTTTTGAACAATTAAGTACATTCTTAATAAAAATAACAAATAGACCCCAAATCTTTGCGAAGTGTTTCTTTGGACTGCAAATCTAATTGCTTAAAGTAAAGTGATTTGAAAAATAGATTATTTGTATGCAATTGCTATTAATAAAAGTGTTAATTTCTTCTTAAAATGACACCGTCTCCAAACTTTTGAACAGTCGTGTATCTATGGACTGTACACTGTATGCTTTGTTTAGGAAAAAAGCACATAATTGCAGAATTACCCTTGAAAGTCAGTTGTTCAGTGGGTTGTGGCCTCTCTCATGGATCTGCTGTGTGTTTGGTGTCAGCAGTAACATTGTCTGTTGGCTACTAGCCTCTTATTGAACTAAATCCATGGATGATGAAATATGATGATAGCAGTGTTGTGTGACTTGCATCTAATGCATTTTAGTTCACACAAAAATGCAAATTTTATTGTGATTTACAGTCCAACAGTTGCAGTTGACTTTAGTTAAAGAACATTTTTAGCTAAAACCGTGGCCCTTAGTTATTCATATATTGTTAGTCAAATCTACCAGGACTTTTTGATGGTCAAAAACATATAGAGCTGTAACAAAATTTTCTTAAGCTAAATTCATTAGCTCATGCACAATCTAATCCTTTAGCTTTGTTAGAAGTCAATATCTCACTAGAATTGATTTTGTTTTGCCTGTATGTTTTTTTTTACTTTTTTCTTTTTACTTAGTTCCACTGATTAGGGTTTTACATTTATTAAGCATCAAGCACTGAGAACATTTCCAGCTAAAAATCTTTTTAATCTTTATATGTGGGTAAACTATCAACTTTCTGTTGATCAGCGTAGAGCTTGTAAATTACTTATTTATTTATTTTTTTACTTTGTTTTGTTTTGATAATTGTTATTTTTGGTTACGCAGGAAGTGACCTAATATTTTTGCTCCTGTTTTTGTAGAGTTTGGAGTTCACCTTGCAGAGCTCACAGTCGACCCACACGGAGCACTCGCTATTCGCCAAGTAAGACTTGATATCTGCATTTAACAGCATTTATTAAAGTCCGCATGAACCGGAAGTTGACTAAATTTCAGTTTGATGATGTACTTCCAACTGAAAAGAGATGATTAGTAGGGGTGGAGCTTTCTATTTTCTTATCATTCTCTCATAGCAAACTATCAGTAAGGTGGGCATGGTCAGGAACATTTTGTCTGAAGCATAGATTATAAAAGATATGGACGTAGTGTCCGTGACGTCACCCATAGGTTTCTGAAGAGCGCAAATGAAGTTACAAGTCAAGTGGGCGTGGCCAACTGGCACCATCACTCCAACTAGATGAGACAACATCAGAGGAAATGCAGAGGAGAAAAGTGGTCAGTCGCCACCAGACCTGAGATCCCTCTCTCATACCCACAAATTCCTCTGAATGGAGGAGGACATCATTAAAGCATATAAACTATTAGCCCAAGCTGCGATGACGGCCCTTTCCCACCTCCACCTCAAAATCTTTTGAAAGTTGGGCGAACTTGTAACTTTTGCTTTTTGTCGCTATTAATACACGCACTGCGGGCTACACATAGAACAACTTTATTCTCTCCAACACCAGTGCGTACACGGGCAGAGGCTACATCGTTAATTATACACACACACATCAGGGCCATACCATTACATAAACTGCATGGGGGGTAAATCTGGACTAAACCATTCAATGCTTATACTACACTTCACATATTTCGCAGAGCTAAAAACAAGACAATATCTTCCATCGTGGCTAGTGTGACGCAGATGCTAAATCCCGCTTTTATGCATGCGCGACATTGTAAATTGTTTGACAAGTGTAAACGCATGAATTGGATATGGCTCACAATTAAAACAACGTATTAACAGACAGGCAAACAAATCGGATATTTGCAAAAAATCGGAATTGGGCATCAAGACCCGACAGTGTACATGGTGCCTTTGTCGGGCTTTTCTTTGGGAGAAACGCTTAATACTTCATTACCTGCGACTCGTTTGTGTTTTGAACACATGTGCTTGGTTGTATACTATATCAATAAAGCGTTCAGTGTTTAAAAAAAAAAACGTTTCAATGCATTGACCCACTAAGCATTGTTCTTGACGTTTTTCTACAGGGCGAATGTAAATGCCAGACTATTTATGAAATCTAGGCATTAAACTGTATGACAATGTTTAAGATGATAAACAGCCTACAGCTAATCAATCTGTCAGATTCTGAGGTGCATTGCAGTTCTAAAGAAAATGATAGAAATGATAATTTAAATAAAATAATGTGTGTGTGTGTATATATATATATATATATATATATATATATATATATATATATATATATATATATATATATATATATAGTAAGAATTCCACTCACTTGGGAAATGGATGCCACGTGAATGGTTTGTGAGCACAATAAAGTGCCCATAGTATGCTATATTAACTGATAATTGTTGGAAATAATTCCAAAAAGCAGCTGACTGTGTAAAGCCACATAAAACAAAACAAAAATACGATGTATATGCAGAGTTCAGCGGCTAATCAGCTGGAATCAGCTGTGGTGAAGTGACGACGATAAGCAAGACCTAGCTGTCACTCAAGTGGCCCCCTTAATTATGCAGTCTTAATATAAAATAATATAAACTAAATGGATGAGTTATTAAAAAACCCTCCTCACAGTTGTCATGAAGTGTAATATTAGCTATATACACCAAAATCGTTCTTTGTATCAGGCTGTAAACACTTTTTTCTGCTGTAAAGTTGTCCATTTTAACAGTGGGGTTAGTAGAAATTTGCTCTTATGTAGTCAAAACTAGTGGAATTTCGATGAATTGCAGTTTCAGTTACTTCTAAATTAGCTTCATGAGGGAAAGCGGGAGGTTGCCGCTTGGTCTGAAGCTGTCAAACTGACGTCAAGAGAGAAGAACCACCACTCCAAATGCAAATGGTCAGACTTTGATTGAAGATTACCAAAATAATTATCAAAAACCTTTTGTTCACTGGATTAACTTGCACAGATTACTTGTTCACCTAAAGGATAACGATGTGCGCTAACAAAATAAACAGTATATATTTTTGATTTCACACACACTTTTACCAAATAAACAAACCATTGTTAATTTTGCTAAATGTGTTTGCTGTATTTCGTTTGCAGTTGGCCTCTGTCATATTAAAGCAGTATGTCGAGACCCACTGGTGCGCCCAGTCAGAAAAATACAGGCCTCCAGAGACGACAGAATGGGTAAGAATCACATATTTAGATCCAAACATTCATGATTAATGGAGATATAGTAATATTAATTGCTCTTTCTGCTCAGGCCAAAGCTGCGATCCGTGAGCTGTTGCCCAGTGGTTTGCGGGAGGCCATCAGTAAGGTACGCTCCAGCGTGGCCTACGCCCTTTCGGCTATTGCACACTGGGACTGGCCTGAAGCTTGGCCTGGGCTCTTCAAGCTCCTCATGGACATGCTGGCCAGTGGAGATGTCAATGCTGTACACGGCGCCATGAGAGTCCTGACGGGTAATGATTTGAAGCACATCTTCTTCAAATTCACAATAAGTGATCCTGTTTTGGTTTTAGGTAAGTTATCATGTTGTGTTTCATAGAATTTACTCGAGAGGTGACCGATGTGCAGATGCCGGATGTTGCTCCTGTCATTTTGCCTCAGATGTACAAGATTTTTACCATGGCAGAGGTATTATACTTGGCTCATATTTACATTGTAGTTTTTTTGTAACTTATGAAACTAACAAAAGTGGGGTTGGGTGGTGTTCATTGCTTTTGCAGGTTTATAGTATTCGCACTCGATCCAGAGCAGTTGAGATCTTTACAACATGTGCCAATCTCATCTGTGCGATTGATGAAGTAGCAAAGGTAAAGATTTAGTGAATTGCTTCGGTTAAAATGTAAGAGAGAGTGAGCAAGAGACATTTTTACATTTATATAGGTTGGATGCAGGAAATTGGTTAAAATGACAGTACATTTTATAATTTATAAGGAATGTCACAAAAGGGATTCTTTAAAAAATAATAGTCTTGCAAAATAAAACCCATCATCATTTCAGTAAAAGTAATTATAAAAACTATTTTTTTAGTATTCATATTTTTTCTTGAGCACCAAATCAGCCTATGACAATTGCATTACAGCTATAGTGCTCAGCGTAATTAAGTACACCCCCTTTTGAAAATGAATATTTTTTTTATCCATTTCTCAGTGAATATAAGCAATGTATTTTGGTCCATTTAAACAAAACAGATTTATTAAACAGATATATTTATTAAATAATATTTTATTCACCATTATCAAAGATAATACAATTAAATTCAAGCAAAATATCACAAAAAAAATTACAAACTATAAAACTTCAACTAAATTTTTCAACTTTTTTTGCTTTTCTTGATTTTTTGTCTTTAAATTTGTATTTAATATTTTTCTATAACATAAATTTGGATGTACTACTTTTTGGACCGTTATTGTTAGTTATTTAGTTCCAGATTTGGCTTCAGTACTGACTAATGTAATGTACAGTTTATGCACAAAGATAACATTGTATAACTTCCTATTAAAAATATGAATTTAAAAAAAAAATTTGTGAGGGGTGTACTTAAATATGCTGAGCACTGTACAAATTACTTAAATTTTGTAATTATTTAATGATTAGGTCCGTAAATTTTGATGTTTGTGAGCAAAGAAATCTTTTAACCCTTTGTAGGGCACTCTGTTTTTACTCATTGGTTTTATAAATAAGTATTTCAATGTTTTGTTTATGGAACAATCAATGCCAAAGCTATTGAATTAAAAGGCTTGTTGAATAGCACAAACTTTAAATTAATCCACTAAATTAACAACTGCTTGCATTTTAATGACTTGAATCGCTAGGGTTTGTATTTTTAAGTCCTGAAATTTAACATAACTGTTTATTTGAGCTGTGAATATTTCAACTAAAATATTTCAAAGCATGCTTTTATAATATATGTTATAATCAATGTCAATGAAGTTACCATATATGGTTCTTTGCCCAATAATGGGTTAAAAACATAAAATGGTTTATGAACTCAAAAGTTTTGAATATGTTTTACTGTGTAAAATTTATCTATCTCAACTAAATAAACACAATTTTGCCATCAAAGTGTTTATTTTTATTTTTTTCAATATGTTTCACCATGTTATAACTAAAGTTTACATATCAAACCTATTATCAGGGGCGGATTAGCCAATATGCGATTTAAGCAGCCGCTTAGGACCCCGGGAAATTAGGGGGCCCTGACTAATGACAAGAAGCCTATATTAATCATATAGCTTTTTTTTATCAATTTTCTATCATATGTTGTAAAATTTGTCCATATTCATTTCGATGTTAAACTCATTACTTCTTTTCAAACCAGGGCCCACATAAACAGTACTGCCTATACAAATATTAAAAACTAAAATCAAATATGGCTAATTAACTGTACATACTGTAGTTTGTAAACTTGTTTTTGTATTTGTGTATGTATTGTATTTAATTGTACATTAATAAGATAAAGGTTTCACTTTAAAATATATTTTTAACATGCAGATTATTTACAAAAAAAAATAGCTCCACAGAGAAAAAAAAATATACTGAAAGACCGTGTTTTGAGTTTTCTTAGGGCACTCAAATCACCAAGTCTGCCCCTGCCCGCTATTGATGTTTAATACAGTTTTACTTGGTTTCAGGGTGCTGCCAACGCTCTGATTTTCCCTGTAGTCCAGCAGTTTACAGAAGCCTTTATACAGGCCCTGCAGATCCCAGATGGTCCAACTTCCGATAGTGGCCTGAAGATGGAAGTGCTAAAGGTAACAAACCACCCCGTCATGACTAGCTGTTTCACCTAATGATGTTAATGTAAATATGTGTTGTTGTCTACTCATAGGCAGTGACGGCATTGGTGAAGAACTTCCCCAAACCCATGGTGTCCTCAATGCAACAGATTCTTCCTATTGTGTGGAACACGCTGACAGAGAGTGCCTCTTTATATCCTTTTATTCAAAACTTTTACGAATATTAGAATCTCTAACATGTTCATCAGTTATTTAAATATCATTTTCAAGGACTTTTCCCTAACCTAATGTGAACTTATGTGAGAACTGAGGTCAACTACACAGAAGAAGTGGATGATCCAGTTGACTCTGATGGTATGGGACACTTTATTTTTGGAATTGATTGTCAATGAGTGTGTTTACATGCATGATTTTTAACCCGATTGTGTTCATTAAAGTGATAGTTCACCCAAAAATAAAAATTATGTACTCATCGTCCACTCATTCCTTACTGTTGAACACATTTATTTGATATTGTGAAGAATGTTGGGAAAAATATCCATTGACTTTCATAATATTCAAAAGCTGCTTTTTTCAGCATTCTTTATAAAATCTTAATTTATATTTGTGTTTCAGCAGAGGAAATTTATAATAGTTTAAAGAACCGCTTGATTCTGAGTTAATAGTGAGGAAATTTTTATATTTGGATGAACTCTTCCTTTAAACTGACTATGTGATTGTGTAAATGGCTTGACCGTTATGTTAATGGTTTAACATAAACTGATTGTCAGCTAAATGTTTTAACTTTTTACTGATTCTGCCCAGCATAAATAAAGCATCAACCTGCTTTCTGACGCTATAATAAAGTGCGCATGTGTGATAGGAATACATCTTTACTGCAGATTTAAGCACATCCAGATCGAGCTGACATTCTCTTGTAAGGGAGGTGGAAACAGTGGCGTAGCGGACGGGCCCGCAGGGCACGCACCGCGGGGGGGCCCCGCGTGATTAGGGGGCCCCGCGTCGTCGCGATTTTCAATAAACTGTTGGGAACAACTGTGGTCGGAACCAAAGTTCACAGGTCTGTGTTCTCTGAACACCTCTCAAGCGGTGGACTACTTCATTCTGATTGCTTGCCGCCAATTTTGCCAACTTAGCGACTTTGTCACTAGATTTAGCGACTTTTCAGACCCCCCTAGCGACAAATCTAGCGACTTTTTTTGTGTGTTATTGGAGATTTTTTTAGACTGTCATTTGTCCATACTGTACCGTCCCTACTCTTCTCAACGAGCTGCGTGTGATGCCGCCGGCCCCTCCCCCGCCTCACAGCACTGACAGGCGGCCCAGTCAGTCCTCTACAGCAGCCTCTCCCACCTGCAGCCCGAGAGCAGATCACCCCTCTGCGTACCGACGACAAATGATTTAGCACAGGCAGTGTGAAGGTATTTCCCTTGTACAGTCAAACCGATCTACTTCTTCTTTATTTTAACAATTTATTTGGACCGTTTATTCTTTTTCTTGTTCACAATCACAGATATTTTAGTGACAGTTTCTGAACTTGTCTGAGTTTATTAACTACATATGAGAGATTACTGCACATTCACTAACGTTACACATCTATAATGATTTACTGTATTCAAACAGCAATAAATTTAGTTAAATAAACATGCATATATAAAGTGTAGTGCAATTATAAATACCCCTTTATTAACCATAGGCTGTTAAACAGAAACGGTAGAACGTGATGACGTCAGTGATATGCAAATTGACGTATGACGTACCCCCCCCTAACCCCCCCCCACCCCCTTCATCAGGGGGCCCCGTCAGCGATCCCTGCAGGGGGGCCTCCGCATTTTGCGCTACGCCACTGGGTGGAAATATACCTCAGTTTCATATGCTTTCTTGACCCAAATAATGATAAATGAGTGTGTTTTCATCATCTCATGCAGCAGAAGTAGAAGCTGTGCAATCAAAATGCTGCATCTTGAGATGCTAATATATGAGCTGTGAGTTTCCTGCTAACATGTTGCAATACTCCTATTCAGTTTTTGATGTTTTATTTATAACCAACATAACAAATGAAAGGCTCAGAGTTCGTTATGCAAACGATTACATTCTGACATCACTATTTAGAAAAAAAAAAAAATTCTCAATAAAGTTTTGTAAATGCTGTGTTTTCATGCATTGTTGGGCTATTGGTTGCATCTAAACTGCGATGATGGGTTAATGCAAGCTGATATGTGACCTTGGACCACAAAAGCAGTCAAATACAGGTGTATTTGTGTTAAAAGCCAAAAGTGTTTTGTTCAAGTCAAAATAATCTATTTATATTACTTTTAGTCATTTAGCAGATGCTTTTATCTTAAGCGGCTTACAAGTGAGAATAATAGAAGCACATCAATTCCTCAGAGAGAAGCAGTATATAAATGTTATAAGTCCAAGTTACTATATTTGTTAGTCTGTATTTATGGCAAAAATCATTAGAATATAAAGTCAAAGTGACGTTCCATGAAGCAATTTTAAAAATTTAATTGCATAAGTGTATCAACTTAAATTTGGATCAGTAATATGCATTGCTAAAAAAATCTTTTGAACAGCTTTAAAGGTGATTTCTATATATATTAGGGGTGCAACGGTTCAATCTACTCACGGTTTAATATGTATCATGGTTTTAGGGTCACGTTTCAGTACGGTATGGTTTGTGCAATGCTTAGAGAAAATGCCTACAGAACAATTCAAAGAACAATAAACATTTATTGGTTAACAAACACCTGACAAAGCAACAGCTTCACACATATGACTGTAGATTTGCATGTTCTTGCATTAATTAAAAAAAGTAGAGCATTTTGGAAATTGTATGTTCAAATAAATAGCTTAAGAAAATAAAGAGAAAGCTTAAATTTTTATTTTTTTTCTATTTTGCATTTTTTTTCTTAATTGAGCACATTCAAAGTATTGATTACTTCTGTTTACATCATGCTTGCATTACCAAGGCAATAACACATTTTTATTTATGATTATGATTCCAGAGAGCTCTGTTTCACTTACCAGCACCATCGTAGTGAATGAAAAAAGAGGGAGAATTTGGCTCTTATCTCTTAATTAAGCGGAATCAGTCAGTCGAAAAATAAACTTTTCTTAGTAGACAGCGGGTTAACAGAGTGAATAGCGGGAGTGATGTATACACAGTGAATAGTACAAGAACACTCACTAGGAGCGGGACTGAAGTAACAGACCTGTTGTATGTCTGTGTTCATATGGGACGCTCCTGGGTCTGAACACGCACCTTGATTCACCTGTTAGTGACCACTGATCTTTGCAACAACAACAAAAAAACTGCATTCTTTGTTTTTGTGTCTGTCTGAATTAACATCGAGTATCTGTTGAAACACTGATGGCAATTTCAAATAGTTGCATCTCACCCAAATAATATCCTGAACAAACAAACAAAAAACAATATGTCAGTGGAAAGCTTATTTATTCATCCTTCATGTCCTGTATAAACCTTAATTTTCAAATTAAATTAACCCTAATGTCCAGTTTTGTGGTCCCAGGCTCACATATTGGTGAGTTATCAGTGTATTGGTGTGCATGTAAATGTGAGCTGTTGTTTTCACAGGTGAGGTCCTTGGCTTTGAAAACCTCGTCTTCAGCATCTTTGAGTTTGTCCACACACTCTTGGAGAACAAGAAGTTCAAGAGCACAGTGAAGAAAGCTTTACCGGAACTCATCTATTACATCATCCTCTACATGCAGATCACGGAGGATCAGGTTTGTGGGAGGTGTCAGTGTGTGTTGTCTTTTTATACACGTGTGTAAATATATATATATATACCTTTTATCTTCACATTCAAATCCATCTCACAGATCAAGGTGTGGACGGCCAACCCACAGCAGTTTGTCGAGGATGAGGATGATGACACGTTCTCCTATTCGGTTCGGATATCAGCACAGGATCTGTTGCTGGTGAGAGCGTTGGGAGTTTGTTTGTGGATGTTTGAATGTTCTCCTTTTTTGTTTTTATTCATCTCTAATGCTTGCTTCCGTCTATCAGGCTGTTGCTGCTGAATTTCAGAACGAGAGTGCTGCAGCTTTAGCGGCAGCCGCAACACGACACCTTCAGGAGGCAGAGCAAGCCAAGAACACTGGCAGTGAACACTGGTAAACACAAATGCTGCTTTCAAAAATATCAGTGGCTCTATTTTAATACATTCTCAATTTGATGAGTTAATATGGAATCCTAAAGAGCACCGGTGTGTTTTAATTGGAATAGACATGAATTTATATCAAAGAGTGTGCTGATTAGATTGCTTACTGCGATTTGTGTAATTGTTTAGTCAGCCTTTATCTCTGTATTTTTGTGTATATATGCAACATACACTGTGTATATAATTGACGGCAAAATTATTAGCCCTTGTGTGAACAGGGTTTCTGTGGAGACTTAAAAATACATTTCAAAAGCTAAATTTTAGGCCTTAAAAGGTCTTAAATTTACTGAAATATTGTTTTAAAGGTCTTAAACAAGTCTTAGTTTGCATATGTCCCTTTCTCCAATCACCAACAATCTGTCTCAAAAAAAAACTTTTAACCAAACTCTCTTTACCAATGTTTTTTTTTTAAAGAAGAAGTTGTTTTTAAATTGTTCTTGTATACAACTATGGTTTGCTTGTTTTTACACATTATTTAAAATATGTGGCCAAGAAATCATCATGATTGGGGCATCATGGTGGCGCAGTGAGTAGCACGATCGCCTCACAGCAAGAAGGTCGCTGGTTCGAGCCTTGGCTTGGTCAGTTGGCATTTCTGAGTTTGCATGTTCTCCCTGTGTTCACGTGAGTTTCCTCTGGGTGTTCCCCTACAGTCCAAAGGCATGCAGAACAGGTGAATTGAATTGGCTAAATTGGCTGTAGTGTATGTGTTTGAATGAGAGTGTATGGATGTTTTCTAGTGATGGGTTGCAGGTGGAAAGACATCTGCTGCGTAAAACATATGCTTGATAAGTTAGTGGTTTATTCTGCTGTGGCGACCCCTGATGAATAAAGGGTATAAGCCGAAAAGAAAATGAATGAATGAATGAATTGTTTTGGAATGAGGCAAGTAAACTTTAGGGCTATTGGATAAATCTTTAGTGTTTAGCCCTGTGTAGGTCTGAAATTCCATTTATAACTGTCTTAAAGAGTCTTAAATTGGACTTTGTAAAACCTGCAGAAACCCTGGTTTCATTTCCTTTTTTAATTATTTACAAACTGATTTTTAATAAAAAGAAGATTATTTTAAGCAGAATAGTTGTAGTAACTAATTAGTAATAACTAAATTTTTGTCTTTGCCATAAAGACAGTACATATCATTTTACTAGCTATTTTTAGATACGTTATTAGATATAGTAAGTGTAGCGGTTGACCCACAGATAAAGCTTCTGCAGATGGCAATACTAGTGACTCGTCAATCATCTTGCATGTGCATCTTGTTTATTTCCTTTTTTGCAAATTTAACAAATGTTAAGACAAAACAAAAAGGATGAATTATATGATTCTATCAACAAACAAATAAGAGCTCCCTCACTCACCCCCTTGCTCCTCTAGCCACTCCCTGGAACTGGTTTTTTAATTAATGACACTCATGTTTTTCCTTAGTCACATGACATCACACATTATACATAATATTTACATGGTTCTTATAGTAAGACCTAGTATTCAGCAAGTTTGGTTAATTATGCTGGTTAATTTTTGGACAACAGTGGTTTATTCTGTAGGCAATCTAAAAAATATATTTCTTGTAGGGTCTAATAATATATATTTTTAAACTGTGGTTATTTAAGCAAAACTAAAAGAAGTTAGATTTTCTCCAGAAGCAAAGAAATATAGGAAATACTGTGATGAATTTTTAAAAAAAATATATCGAATGAAATCACATTGCCCATGCTACATTTATAAAAGAAAATTGATATTTAGTGCTAACTCAATATAAAAGCCAGTTTGTACTGTATTCAATCTATAGAAGTGAATTGAATTTGTGAGTGAATTGAATCAATTACTTATGAAACAAATGAAAACATGAAATATGTGTCCCGTCATAGTTAAAGGGTTCCCACAATTATTGAAAGTAAAATAGCTTAAATTTTTAGACATCTTTATTCAAGGCTTAGAAAGTATTTAAAAACAAACATAGGTTATATAAATATATGGATAATAATAGTATTACCAGTATTTAATTTAACTTTAAATACAGTAAAGATTTTCAAAGCACTACACATGCTCGGGGAAATTAAAAAGGTGCTTCATTTGAAAATAATGGTGCTTTAATAGTCTTGAATGTGTTCATGAACAAGCGGGAACCCTGTAGTAAAATAAACACATCTTACATTCTATCACAAGCAAACTTGTTCTTTTATTGTTTTGCTTCACATCAGTGTCTCCGCTGTTATGCAGGTGGAAGGTGCATGAAGCTTGCATGCTGGCGCTGGGATCAGTCAAAACCATCATCACAGAGAATGTAAAGAATGGTCGTGTGCAGTTCGATATGCATGGATTTCTTGCCAATGTCATCCTCGCGGACCTCAATTTACCTGGTAGCCTCCTTTAACATATTCCTTTTGATCATACAACTTTAAACCACCCAAGAACAAAGACCGGATCTCATCCATGTGTTATTTGATTTCCAGCAGCCTCTCCGTTCCTGCTGGGTCGGGCCTTATGGGCAGCCAGTCGATTCACTGCAGCGATGTCTCCAGAGCTCATTCAGCAGTTCCTGCAGGCCACCGTGAGCGGGTTACACGAAAGCCAGCCACCCTCTGTTCGCATCTCTGCCGTCAGAGCTATCTGGGGGTGAGACTTCTGTTTCCACTTCATTTAATAGTTTGCAGAAACTGTGGTTTTATTTGCACCTCTTTGTTTATATTCTACTAATGCAAAATAAATAGTTTTAGCACTGAATGTCGCAATGAATGCACACACAAAAATGCTAATATGTGGATTAAACCAAATAACCAACTTATTATCATTATTGTATTGTATATATTATTGTTATTATTGTTAAATAATGCCTTAGTGTATTAATTTGCAATGCTATTCAACGGTTTTTGGCAATAATTATTATTTTTAAAATACTTTAGTATGGCTGTTTCTAAATGAAAATTATTACACATAATATTTCTCTTTTACATAATAAACACTTTTTATTAATATAATTTTCAGTCAATGTAAGCAAGCACTAAGAACTGTTTTCATTGCATTAATGGAAAAAAAGAAATTCGAGCACCATATCAACATATTAAAGTATTTTCTTTAAAAAATTATGATGATTAAAAGGATTTTATTCAAATAAGTCTAAAGTATTTAATAGGGTTGGGTACCAAAACCCGGTGCTATGTAACCAGTGTGCACCGGACCAAAGTAGCATATGAATTTCGGTGCCTTATTTCAGTGCCACTGGTACTTCGGCAAGGACGTAAGAAGCATCAAGAGGTACATCAAAAGCACACATAGGTATGCGTTGTCACACCATCTCTTAACAACTTTGAGAGACACCGTCTGTGATGCTTGGCGTTCGTTCTTGTAACATATTTGCGAGATAACGTAAAACATCTTGGTGAAGGAACGCAAAAACTTTCCACTCATTTTTTTTTCTCCACCATCAATCCCTTCCGGGTCTCCGTAGACACCTGTGTCACAAAATACAAAGATTTTTTCTTTCCATGGCAGGTTGTTTCAAATTTCATTAAAACAACATCTTCCATCAGTCCTTACTTTATATTCTCACCCAATACCTCAGTTTGTCAAGGAAACATGCATGAAATGTTCTTGAATGAAAGGAAAACTACGGAACTGCAGTTATGATCGAAAGAAAATTAAACACTCCAGAGGAAACATGGATAGCCTGGTGAGGCAATGACGTTAATCAATCTATGTGCCATTACTTGTAAAACGAGATCATAAAAGTAACATTCAAAAAGCAACTTATGAAAACACCTCAATCATATTATTGTCTTATTCAGATGAAACCAAGTCATTAGATTTCATGGTGTTCCCTGACTTTGATGACAGCTTTTTCACATGTTAGTAGTAAGCTCATGTAATGTTAATTGCATTGTGCAAATCTTAAAAAACAAACAAATGATCAAAAGAAAAATATTAACGCAATTCAATTCAAATAAATAAAGTATGTATTGATGCATACTTTATGCTTTAATTATCTTGTTTAATTCATTTTTTTTTTGTCAAATAAAAGATTTTTTTCTAGTGTCATCCCCCATAAATTTGTGGATCAAAAGTATCTGCTCAGACATCGTTTTGGCACCGGTAGCATTTTAAAAGTATTGATTTAGCACCGGTATCGAAAAACCCCAAATGATACCCAACCCTAGTATTTACATCACAGGAAGAACTAGCATTTTAATATATTAACATACAGCTATTTTAAAATTACTTATGCATTTTCACCAAATAAATTCAGCCATGCTATGGTAAAATGAAAAAGAAATCTTACTGACCCCAGTCTTTTTTTTTTTCTTAAAATTAATTTTCTTTTATTTTAAAGTGACTTAAACAAAATATTCTTTTTAACTCTATCTGTTTTACAGTTACTGTGATCAGCTAAAGCTGTCAGAGAGCACTCACGTCCTCCAGCCATTCCTGCCCAGTGTTTTGGAAGGCCTGGTTCAGCTGGCGGCTCAGTTCAGCTCTGAAGTGCTCACGTTAGTCATGGAGACCCTCTGTATTGTTTGCACTGTGGATCCAGCTTTCACTACGAGTGCTGAGAACAAGATTTGCCCGCTCACCATTGCCATCTTCCTCAAGTACAGTAATGGTAAGATCATTTTATAGTCAACATCCATTATCATTAGTATATTAGAAGATTATCATGTCCTCTTTTCCTGCTCTGTTAGATCCTGTCGTAGCATCTTTAGCGCAGGACATCTTTAAGGAGCTTGCCCAGATTGAAGCCTGCCAAGGACCCATGCAAATGCGCCTCATTCCTACTCTCGTTAGCATTATGCAAGCGCCGCCTGATAAAATCCCTTCAGGACTTTGTGCTGTAAGTTAAACTCATTACTTTGTTCTTCCTCCAAACTGTATTTATCATCAGCATATTTTTGTCATAAGATTTTTCAAGTCTCTCCAAAAAATACTGATGGTTCCGAAATATATATGTCTAAATTGCAAGTTAAAAATCTAATTCTGAGGGGGGAAAGGAAAGACTTGAAAGGATAAGTTTAAAGAAAAGTTGAAAGCAACAATATTTTGATTTGATCTAAATATTTTTAGATATTTGGTCTAGAAACAAGACAAAGCAAAGTAAAAAAGCATTTTTTGCATTGTGAATTTATTTTTTATTATTATTTATAATTTAATTTCTAAATAATGTTAGACTCCATAGAAAACCATCAAATATTGTTTTTCAAACCATTTAATATAACTAATATAATATTTCCCATATTGCAATATTTAATGCAGAAAATTTAAATATAGCAAGATTTTTTTTAATATTGTGCAGCCCTAATTCATGCAGTGTTATACTAAACTGACTCCTGGAGATGTGCTAAATAGTGTGAAAGCATCAAAATGTCAATTTTGTATCTGTAACTTGCCTGTAAATCATTCTTTCTTTTCGCTGCTGAATTTTTAATGTTATGAGACTGCAATATTTATCAGGACACACTTTTAAAAATGTATTTACGGGTCCAGAAAAACATGTAGTTTTATCAAATCTTTCATGAAACTGTATTTATTTTGTCCATAACTTTTTATCTTAGTTGAAGCTGATATTATAAAATGTTTGTTTTTAGTGTGTTAGTGTATTTGTGAAGTTATATTGTGAAATATTACATATGCATCTGTTGTGTAACAGCCCATAAATGTGGTATGGCATTAAACAAACACAAGTGCTTTCTGTCAGTAATGTGTATCCTTATGCTCTTTCAGACTTCCATAGATATCTTAACTACAGTTGTTCGCAACACTAAACCTCCGCTCTCCGACATGTTGGTGTGCCAAGCTTTTCCAGCAGTGGCTCAATGTACCCTCCGCACAGATGACAACACCACAATGCAGGTAGCGGCCCGGACACAAATCTGACATGTCTTTTCAGAGTCAGTTGTTGTCTAAAGCGCATTGTTGGTGATTTTTTTTTATTTTTTATTTTTCTCCTTCTCAGAATGGCGGTGAGTGCTTGCGGGCCTATGTGTCTGTGGCGCTGGAGCAGATCGCCCGATGGCAGGATGAGCAAGGTCACAGTGGGCTGTGGTATGTCATGCAGGTTGTCAGTCAGCTCCTGGACCCCCGCACATCTGAGTTCACCGCTGCTTTTGTGGGTCGTTTGGTGTCCACTCTTATTACCCGAGCTGGCACTCAGTTGGCTGACCAGCTGGACCAAATACTGCGTGCTATTCTCAGCAAGATGCAGCAGGCTGAGACACTCAGTGTGATGCAGGTAATAATAAATAATAAAAATTGCCAAGATTGGCAGATGTAAATGTGTAATTCTGACTTTTCCCACTTCCAGTTCTGACAGTTTTTGTTTTGTGTGTTTGCAATTTTCTTTAAAAGTGTACAATAGAAACTCTAAATTGCCTATCCAGTTAAAAAAATTGCAAGTTTATCAGGGGTTGCCTCAGCAGAATTAACAGGCAAATAATCCAGCATTTGTTTTCGCAGCAGATGCCCTTCCGGCTGCAACTCAGTACTGGGAAACACCCATACACTCACATTCACACATGTACACTATGTCCAATTTTGTTTACCCAATTCACCTGTACCGCATGTCTTCTGACTGTGGGGCAAACCGAAGCACCAGGAAGAAACCTACATGAACACGGAGAGAACATGCAAACTCCACAGATAAATGCCAACTGACCCAGCCAGGACTCGAACCAACAACCTTCTTGCTGTGAGGTGACAGTGCTAACCACTGAGCCATTGTGGCGCCCTTAAAATTGCAGGTTTATGTTGTGTAATTCTAACTTGAAGACACAATAACAAGTTTACGTCTCACAATTCTCAGAGAAATGCAATTTTTGAGGTGAAATGTCAGAATTATGTGACAAAGTAATTAGAATTGTGAGAATTGATTGATTTAAATGTATATAAAAGGTTTGTGTAGATATTTATGTTTTTGTTTTATTTTGTTGTCGTTTTTGTACGAGAAAAAATATATTAATTACCTGGTCATCAAATTCTTAAAAACCCTTATTTATACAGGATACAGAAGTATATATTATGTGTTAGGTTAATTGTAGTGCTTAATTTGTGAATTGCGAGGTCCCGGAACAGATCGGGGTAACGGATCCGGAATGTTACCCAAGGATGTAGACGTGTCGCGCACAAAAGTGGAGGGCGAGGTGTGGGAGAATGCGTGGATGGCAGAGGGGTGTCTGGGACGAAAGTGAAGAGGGTTTGGGAGTCGCGAAAAAAAAGTGAAAGTGAACAGCGGACGGGCGAGGAGTGCTGTTGAGCAGGGGGATTAGAAAATTTAGGAGCCGGATAAGATTTTAGAGGTGCGGGATCCGGATCCGGCATGTTCTGGCACAAATGAAGCCCTGGTTAATTGTGTGTACATTACACATACAGAAATATGAAAAATACTTCTTAAATATTTTAAATAACAACTGTTAAGCCATATGTAATTTAAGGGAATTGACTGTTAATTATCGACATCGTAGTAATTCAAAATAGGTATCAGGCAAAATAAAAAATAGAACTGTAAGAGGATAACAATTATTGGGTGCACGTTATATTAGTGTCTTTATTACAGTGTAATTGTACATTTATATTACAGTATATTACAAACACCATGTATGATATACATGTACAAATATAATACATATTACATTACAATCATAATATACATGTACAGTATATTACATATACTTACTGTGTTGGTGTTTTGGCGTATTGCATCTAATTGTGGATCATTTATAGCAGTATTTCTCAACCATTTCCTGGAGGACCACCAACACTCCATATTTCGGATCTCTCTTTCAGTCTCTGCTAATGAGCTGATCATCTGAATTAAGTGTGTTTGGTTGAAGAGACATGGATAATGTCCAGAGCTGGTGGTCCTCCAGGAATGTGGTTGATAGGACAGGGAATCTTATTTATACATTTATTTATTTAATTTGTAATTAACATGTTAGAACTTTTAGTTCCTTGTAGTTAAAGAAAACAAAACTGTGTGGTTTACTTTAGTTTACGACTGAACCCTAGATGCAGGTATGAGATGATGTACAACAAGAACAGAAATAGCAAGCTCTTAATAAACTATTTGTTCAGCATGTTATAGATGTTTGCTTGTTTTTGCATATTGAACATTAATTTTCATGCATGACAGATACTGTAGGTCTGAATTGTGCTGCAGCTGGCAGCTCAAATGAGGTGTGAAACACATTCTCTCTCTCTCTCTCTTCATTTTTCAGTCCCTGATTATGGTTTTCGCCCACCTGGTCCATTCCCAGTTGGAGCCCCTGCTGGAATTCCTATGCAGTCTTCCAGGTCCCACAGGGAAACCGGCCCTGGAGTTTGTCATGGCTGAGTGGATGAGTCGCCAGCATCTGTTCTACGGCCAGTATGAAGGCAAAGTCAGGTGAGGGTTTCCAATCTCGTCTCCAGTGTGTTTGAAGAAACCACACAGCTTTCATTGAAATAACAGTGTAAGCACTCTGTCCACAGTGCTGTCGCCTTGTGTAAACTTCTCCAGCACGGTCTGAATACAAATGACAAGCGCCTCCAAGATATAGTCGTCAAAGGAGATGAAATTTTTAATCCAGACGAGGGAATTTGCACACGTTCCAAATCAGCCAAGAGTAAGTCAATAATGTGATTTAATTGATTGATTGTGAACTGTTATTGTGTCAGATATCTGACTGATCAGTGTCTCTCAGATCCTCAGCGGTGGACCAACATTCCTTTGCTGGTCAAGATCTTTAAACTTATCGTCAACGAACTCTCTTCTGTGGTAGAGGCTAATGCAAACAGAGCAAATCCTGCAGACTGGAGCCAAGGTACATTTGTGGTACTGTTCACTACTATTGTTAGTATGATGATGGTGAAATGTGGGGATGACTAAAGCTAGCTTACTCATGTTTGCTTTGCAGACTCTGGTGGAATGTGGGATGATCTGGCGGAAGAAGAGGATGAGGAAGAGGAAGATGAAGGACTAGCCGGACAGCTTCTGTCTGATCTTATTGCTTCCAACAAATATGGTAAACGCATATATTAATACAGGTTATCCGCTGAGTCTTAAAGTCTTAAATCTCAAAAATTAAATTTTAGTGCTTAAGTGTTAAATCTACTGAAAGTTTGTGCTGTAGGTCTTAAATCTGCTTTAACAGGTCTTAGTTTTTCATTTTTCATGTATAGCTACCCAATCTGGCCATTAAAACCTTTACAATCACCAACAATTCAATAAAGCTTTTAACTTTTTCTATAAAAATAGCAATTAATTACTTTCCTTACAGTAGTGTTTACCTAAAAGTTCTCAATTTATTTACTGCTGAGGACACTGACTTGACCGATTTTTTTTTTTTTTTTTTTTTTTTTTTTTTTTTTTTTTTTTTTTATTATTAAATTATTATTTTTTTAGATTGAAGTAATTGACAGCTATGTTTTATTTTTATTTTCTATTTTTGTATTCTATTTTTGGTAAGGGCTATAGTCTTTGTAAATGGAAAATCTACAAAAAAAAAATTTAAACTAAAATATTTTTATTATTGTATTATTAGTTGTATTAAATTTTAATCATTTTTGATAGGGCAAGTGAAAATTCTTTCTTACTGGGATATAAAAAAAATCTGAGCATTTAGCCCTGTATAACTCTAAAATTTCGTTCCTAATGGTCTTAAAAATGTCTTAAAGTCTTACATTTAACTTGGTGAAACCTGCAGAAACCCTGTAATTCATTCATTTTCTTTTCGGCTTAGTCCCTTTATTAATCCGGGGTCGCCACAGCAGAATGAACCGCCAACTTATCCAGCACATTTTAAAGCAGTGGATGCCCTTCCAGCTGCAGCCCATCTCTGAGAAACAACCACACACTCATTCACACTCATACACTACGGACAATTTAGCCTACCCAATTCACCTGTACCGCATGTCTTTGGACTGTAGAGAAAACCGGAGAACCCAGCGGACACGCAGGGAGAATATGCAAACTCCACACAGAAACGCTAACTGACTCAGCCAAGGAACCTTCTTGCTGTGAGGCAACAGCACTACCTACTGTGCCACTGCGTCACCAAACTCTGTAATTACAAGGTTAAATTTGCAATTGTTCAGTCTAAAATTGCAATGTTGTTCTGCTTTTCAATATTAAGGTTGACCACAAATATAAAGTTTGTTTGTTTTTTGAAAAAATGTTAATTTCTTTAATAAATTCTTTGATAAAAACCTAAAAATTATTATACTATTATTATTACCAATTACTATAGTTAAACTATAGCATACCTTTGACTATATTGACATTTATTATTGTTGACGAGATTAAAATATAGTTTAAAAAAAAGCTTTAGGGAATTCTCACTTTTTGTTGGCGCTTTGGTAACACTGCTTGAGCACAGAAACAGCTGAAACAAAAAATAAGGCTGACTTTCATAAATACAACACGGGGGGGGAAATAAACTAACAAATGAATTAACACTTGTTGAATGCACAGTGTGTAGTTTTTGCCGCTAGTGTGCATATTCACAACAAACAAACATGTAGGTTAATGATGTCAGAACCGAGTACTGATAAATGAGAGTTGTTGTCTTCATTGCACCCTATGGCACTCAAGTTTGTGGATGAATCAAAGTAATTAAAATGTATTATTAGGTAGTATGAAGAGTAAGAAAGGAAGTCGTCGAAATAAAACTATTCTTTGAAACATTTAGGAAAATGTGAGTGCACAAGTCGGCACAATATATCACACTTTTTGGAAAGAAAAGTTGGAGTTGAAGTTCAGTTTAGTTTGGTTTAATTTTCACTGCTGAAAGTCCAAACACTGAAAAGCAAATCCTTCAGTGCGCAGCACCACAAGCAAGTTGGTGACGACAGTGGCAATGAACTTCACCAATTGACAAAAGAGGAGGAAAAAACCTTTAGGGGCAACCAGGCTCAGTTGTGATCAACCTTTTTTCCTCTGGCCAAACTTCCTGTGCAGAGCTGCAGTCTAGGCACCGGAGGCTGGAGAACACTGGACATCCATCAAAGTTGCAGGCTAGAAGATGCATGTCTGCGTAGGTCACCGGAGAGTGTTCAGGCTGGCCCACGAGATCAATACAAAGACTTGTCTGTTATTGGGGTCTTTCAGGAATCAGTCTCATGCTTTCCCCTCCTCCATGATCACCACACCATCTGCTCAAGATATGGCCTGGTCCAGAATTATGGAAACCCCGTGATTAGAAGTAGACTAACATAAGCGTAGATGCCGTTCAAGTTATAATGTCTTTTCGGAATTGCTCCTGGCTCTGGTAGTCCTCTACAAACTCTTAGAGGATTTGGATTTCAAAGCATTTGTGTTTTATGTTGATGTTAATGAAAAAAGATGTGTTTAATCTAGTTTTAAATTGACAGACTGTGACTGCCTCCCGAACTGTACTAAGAAGTCTATTCCAGAGTTTAGGTGCCCAATATGAGAAGGATCTGCCTCCTAAAATTGATATTCTGGGAATAATCAATTGTTCAGAATGAATTGAGCGTAGTGGACGAGAGGGGCTAAAATACATCAGGAGCTCGCTTTATTAAAACCAAACTAAAAATGCAAAGTGCTTGTTATTTTAAAGGCTTGTCTTATAACAGTTGTTGTGTTTTCCCCATAGATGATGATTATTATGAGGATGATGATGATGAAGATCCAGATGCTCTGAAGGATCCGATATTTCAAATTGACCTTCAGGTAACATTGACTCATCCCCATTACCGATTTAACCAGACTTCACATCATTATCTCTGATGATAACCTGTGTACCTGCGTTTCTCTCCTCGGTTTCTCCACAGGCTTATCTGACAGATTTCCTGACCCAGTTTGCTCAGCAGCCTTGCTATAGCATGTTTTCCAGCCACTTAAATGAGGTCGAGAGAAGAGTCTTGCAGTCCATAGGTATTTGAGCTGTATCCCAAATTCCAACATCGGCTCCTTGTCCTTTGTTTCCGTCTTTACCACTCAGTCATCTTTTTTTTTTTTCAAACTTGAACATTTGAGTGGCATTTCGGACGACGCTCTCGACCCACAAGCCAAAAGAGGACTAAAGTAAAGGTTTACGTGTCTCTCCCTGTGTTTTATTAAGGGAAGGGATGGACATTGAGTCTTTGGGATGTTATAAGAGCAGGGTGTGATGTGCTTTTTTTTGCATCCCAGACCTGACCGAATGGGTACATTTGAATCGGAGTTCAAAACACTACTGTGCTTTGATTGACCCGTCTGGTATGATGAATGAATTTTTCTGCAATGGGACTGGAAATGGTATAGGAACGATTTAAAAGTATGAACTGTCCATTTATACCTTCTCGCTTTATTAAGTCACAATGGTTACATAATCTTTCTGTAGAGGAAGGTAAAAAGACTTATGATGACAGATGATGAATCTGAACTTTGAAAAGAAGTTGGAACTGTTGGCGGCCTTATTAAAATTATCCATGTTGTTTGTCATTATGTGGTCTCACGAGCATGATCTTTATAGCTGCACTGTGTTGGGTAAGCATGAAGAATCATAGTGTTATCGTGGTGATTCTAGACTTATTAACACTGTAGTATGAGAACACTTTCCAAATAAAAGGCCTGGTAAGGTCTCATTTGTAATTGTATCTAGTTTTTGGAAAACTTAAGACATCTGTATGACAGTATTTTTACTGTAAAATGATAAAAATGTTAGTAACTGCCCTTAGAATTAATATACAATTTACAACTACTACCTTCAAATTATGATAATTGTACTTAGTGACTGTAGAAACGTGTTAGATTACACATTTTAGGTAATATAAGCAATTAATTTTGACCTTATTTATCATATGGATTTGAATAGAGTTATAGATATTATAGATAGATATTTTTTCCTGTTAATAATATTTCTAAAGGAGCTGTTGACAAGGAATTAAACCTGATTTTGGTAAAAACCCAAACAATACAAACACAAAAATAAAACAAAACAACTATTAAAAACGTTGGACTCAAGCACCTAATATGAATTTACAATGATAAAGGGCAGAGTTGCTGAAGAACTACTGTATGATTTCAGCTGCTGTCTGGGCTTTTTATGCATTTCTACACCTCACTTTCTTCATGTGTTCAATACTTTTTCTCAGTGTCATTTCCTTTTATTAGGAATAACTTAATTTGTAAACTAATTAGATTTGTTTTCTTTGCATATATGGATTTCTTTGGTTGTTACCAATATCTGGGAAAAATTTCAAGTCAATAGCACCTTTAGAAATATGTTTTGTGAGAAAAATGGTGGCGTGTTCAATACTAATTTTCTCCACTGTACACTATATTGGATAAACAAAAAATAGAAAAAGGAACATTAAATCCGTTTTTTATCAAGATGAAGTGTATTAAACCTTGCATTACATTGGTATTTCCCAAACGTGTTTGTAAGTTGATGAAAAAAGTTCAATTATTACAATGTAAAATTAAAATAAGGATATCTTTTTTTTTATTTTATTTTTTTTACCTCAATGTTGTATGGTCATCAGAAAACTTTGAATATGCAAATATGTTGAACTTCAGGCAACTGAAATTCCAGGTGTACCTTAAGTATATATTTCAGATGCAATGGGTTTAGCCCAACAGCAGCAAAGAATCCATGCATTGCTTGAACAAACGTTAATAAACATGAATATGAAATTATGCAGCTGTAGTCTTTGAAATATATTTGATCCAATTGGTAAAGATCAGTGGATATGAAGAGAAGATGATGATAGCAATAATTCATGAGTGTAGATCATAAGTAATCTAACTAAAACATATTCAAATCTGGTCACACTTAATTTTTGGAATTTGATATGTAATATGGAGTGCATGCAATGAGTGTTAGCCAGCTTTAACCATATATCTAGTATACATTATATATTTAACCAGAGCTTGATCTATTGCTAAGCAAATTGTTCAAACATATTCGGGACTGTTTTGATTACTTTAAAGTTACATTTTATGTTATAGTCCTTGTTACACTGTAATTATACATTTAAATACTAAGTAATATTAACTGTATGTACTTACTAGGGTAATGTTCAGGGTTAGTAACATAATTAGGATTAATTTATTGTTACTAATATTGTAAATACACAAAGTAACAATGTTACCAATGTTTTCTTGTTTAACCTATTCAGGTGTTGCTACTCTACACATGACATTGATTTACAAATGTAAAATTATATGGGAATGGCAATATTAAGTAATTGAAAGGGATATTTCAACCAAATAAATGAATATTTTCATCATTTACTCGCCCTTAAATTGTTCCAAGCCTGTTTGAGTTGACAAAATATGTTAACCAGCAAGCACTGACATCCATAGTAGGAGAATCAAATACTATGGTAGTTATTGGTTGCAAGTTTTCAGCTTTCTTCAAAATATCGTAATTTGTGTGCAACAGAAGAACTGATTCAAACTGCTTTTGGACAAGTGAATGGTGAGTAAATGATGACTGCGTTTTAGTTTTTGGGTGAACTATCCCTTAACACATCATTAAATGCATGAATGTACAACTTGTACTAACCATAATAACGTATTTATTAATTTTAGGAGGCAAACATGAAATATAATTATGTTCTTTCAGAAAATTTACAGCACAGTCTCCCAGTATGCTGTCAATGGATGCCTTTCTCTCCAGAAGAGGAGCTGCTACAGAAGCCCACGGGCTCCATTTTTCCTCGTGGAATTTCGCGCGTCTTCTGCATCAGCGTTAGCTCCACAACAATCCGGTACAGCCGCCACCAGTTTCCAACAACACCTTCGTTTATTCCGTGTTAATATACACCTATACTACACCTCGTCTCGGGGAAATTAACGTCTTTTAAATTCCTCCATCTACGAGGAGCCTGGTACTACATATTCGGCGTGCGGGCGTGTAGCGTCACGGGCGGCGTGTCATCCACCACAGATCGCATGTTGATCACGAAGCCGCCTGACTGCGAGACGTGGCTCATCTTGTCTTTTAAAGCGCCTTTCAAATAATGCAAATGTAACCATCTTTGTCGGGAATAACGGAAAGTGTTCTGGAAGCAGGATGTCCTTCTACGCTGTCATTATACCGGTTCTCTGTATCATTTTTTCGGCTTGGCAGGGTAAGACGATATTGTAGTTTCTTCATAGGCCTCATTGCCGCATATATTTACTCGTAAACATGTTTCTGTTCTGAAGTAAATGTTACTACCATCAACACAATTAATATATAGCTTTTATGGCTACATTTTGAAGTAGCTACGTAATGGTTACAGCACAGAATCTGTCATTTCTATAGCAGCATCTCAAACCGCTTAGATTTGCAAGTTCACGTGAGGCTGCGTTTGTTTTCTTCTGCTTTTTTGCTTTTTTGCTGAGCTTGGTCGTTCTCTGTGCCCACTAACGTAAATGAAAGCTAACAGTTAATCCAAGAGTTGGGACCTTGAAGCAGGTGATTTAACTGACCTACCTAAAACTGCAAGTTACCAGTGTTTTAAAAAAAAAAAAAAAAGATTTATCAATACAAATCAATATAACTAAGTAAGGCTTATCTTGCTGAAATGTAGTAATTGTTTGGTTAGAGAGTCCTGGGGATATAGGATTTAACTTTCCCTCCTATTTAGGCTGTTCTGAATATTTATCCTACTAAGAAGTAATTTATACTAACATACACTTTAGAGTAACGTTAGTTTCATTTGGGACATAATGGCTGTAAAATATATTATTAATTGTTATTTAATGCTATTTAATGTTAACAATGTTATATTTTTTATTCTCACTTTTTAACTGTATTCATTATTGTTTTTTGTGCTTTGTTTTTTATTGTTTTGTAGGTACTTTAGGTCTGAGAAAAGCAGATTATAAATAAAATGTATTATTATTATTATTATTATTATTATTATTAATGTTTTCGTGTAAAGTGCTTTATTTTGAAATTACATATAATGTTTTATGTGTTTTAATGCATGATAAATTAGTAAAAGTTGCAATTCCTCAAAGGTTATTGTAAGTTATGTTAACTTTTATTATATTTAAAACGATAAAAACTTCTTGCTGACAAATGCATAAAACCAAGTGGTTTGAAGAATGGCTAAGTGTAAAGATTTACCATTATTAATAAATAGTATTTTGGAACTGCAGTATCTAGGCATGGGATGATAATCGTTTATATAGGTGTACCACAGTTTGGAAAAGTCAAGATTTTAAAACCACCGACATTTTCTGCTATATCTTTCCTATGGTATGTGTGAGAGTTCTTGTTTTTTAGGACAACAGTATCTCTAGTTGAAAAGATATCCAAAGATGCTGTTTTAAATCGTAAAGAAATCTGTGTTTTTAAAACTAATGAAGACAGCAGAAGTCGATGATTCTTTTGAATTATTTAACATGACGTGTATTGTTCCAAAATTGTATAAATGTTTCTTAAAAAAAAAAATTTGTGTTCAAAGATGAAAAAGTGTTTGTTTTTTACCCAGACATTTAAAGAGAATATATTTTAGAGCAGTGATCACAATACCGTAAAACCGTGACATTTTTTATCCAAGGTTACCGTCTTAACGAGGAATCTCAACCAATCTTATACCGGCCCATGCCTAGTACTATCATCCTTCAATTTTAGTCTTTTAATATATAATTAAACTAATTAAAAAATAAAAAATCTCAATTAATTGAACATTTTAACTTAATTACGATTAATGAACATTATTTTATCTATTTTATGTTTCAGCCATCATAGTTACAGACAGTAAATATGCTCACATGTTACAAGTGAGAGATTCTTGAATGTAGGGTGGATTACTTGATTTTAAAACAGTTGAAGTAAATGCACAATATCTGCTGTCCATGCTTATTTATTAAACATCCATGCTGAACAACTGAAATTCAAACACACATTGCCTAAAATGCATCTCTCTGTGTCGCTTACCGACGTCACCTCTACCAAACCAACTAATCACAAAGCTTGTGCTACATGTCATTGTGACATGTTAGTACATTTTTTTGAGAGGTGCGCGGGTATGCAAAGGCGGTGCCGGACTGTTTATGTGCCCTTGGCAGAAGTGTAATAATATAATAAGTATAAATCATAATATAATAAGTGTAATTCAGCCTTAACAGAGGGGGTCATGTGACTCCACACACATTAGGAAAAAGTAATTGAAAAATTTACCTTGAAAAATTAGATTATAGGTTCTGAATGTCGATTTCGATTGCTTTTCGATCAATCACCCTGCTCTACCGACAACAATTTTTGATAGACTAATTGTTACAATGATTTATATTTTACTAGGTATCTTCTTTAAATCCTGGAAAAATAAAGTAAAAAAAAATGTACAAGAAAAAATGAAGCTGCATTAAAAAAAGAAAAACTCATATTCATCTTTGACCCATATACAGTATATTTTACTACTTGTTTTTATGGCTTCCAGTGAGTGCAAATGAGGATTGCTTGTGGTACGTAGACAAAAATGGAACCTGGCACAATGGCTTCGACTGCCCACTCATAACCTTCTGCTGTGGGAACTGTCACCGCCGCTACTGCTGTCTCGATGGCTTCAAGATGATCACAGAAGCGGGACAGAAGCGCTGCATGCTCTTCCATCTCAGGTATGCTTTTCTTTTTTAGAGATTATTGAGCAATTGAGAGGCTCATTTACCTCACATTAGGCCACCAAATAGTACTGAGCAAATACCACTGTTGGATAAGAAATGCTTATTCTTAATAGCGAAGGTCATGAATTGCTGCCAGAGTAGTCAGATTATTGAGAAATAATTTTTTTTGTCCTGCTTCTCTCTCTCAGCCCATCTACTATAGCTGGCATTGCTTCATCGATCCTGCTCTTTGTGGCTGCAATTGCAACTATGGTCTGTTGCTTCATGTGTTCCTGTTGTTATCTTTACCAGCGACGCCAGCAGCGGGGCAGAACTCCTTATGAAGGTAAACACTAATCACTTTTGTTTCTTTGCAGCCCAGTTTAATATTGTAAGTATTATTTACAATTATAAGATAGATTAAATCTGCTTTGTTGCAGAGACTGGTGAATATTTGTCATATTTAGCATGTGAATGTAGCAGTTTGTTTTGCTGTTGCAGTTATTATGATATACAACTGTAGAATACATCTGATCTTCCCAAATTGTTTCCATTTTTCTGTATACAGAATTAATTTAGTAAAAATAGGGAACTCCAGCCACACTTGTAATTAAGGATAATTAATTTTATTTCATTAAATCTTTCTCCTTTTATTACAAGTTTGGCTGGAGTTGCCTATTTTTATTACCATTTTTGCATTTGCATTTGTCCATGCACCTTGTATGGTGGTTGAGTGCTCCAGACCCTTCCTTACCTAAATAATTACCCTCGCCTTACCGTTGAAATAAAAAAATGTAAAAACGTATTTAAATTGAATTAAAATTTACCTTTTCCCTCAAATTTATTGTTAACATGCTGCTGAACTGAGTCTCTGATCATCTCTGGATCATCTTACTTATTAATTTCATAGAGAGATTTAAGATGCTGAAAACACCACAAGCATCACACGTTTCAATATGCAGGGCTCGAAATTAACTTTCTTACTTGGTAGCACCGGTGCTCCCAACCTGAAATATTTAGGAGCACCAAAAAAAATTTTAGGAGCACCAGAAAAAAATTAGGAGCATCCACCAAAAATGAATGATATATTTGACAAGTTGTATATTAAGGGATTTATTGTATTTGAAAATAACATCAATTGGGACTAACAAAACCCAGAAACAACTATCTAACTAATGCTGTGATGACTTAATATTTGTGCAATAATTCCAAAATGAATGTTGAATAATTATAAAATATTATTGATGATGATGATGACAATACTACTAATAATGAATAATATTTCTCATCATCATGATGCCTTGAATGTGCTTTAATGCAAGTTATCTGCTATATAAAGTCCTACTGTTAATTTATGAAAAATGAAAATTAAATTGATGGTTTGCATCAAACACAAATGAAGCATTGTAGTAAGAAATATTTATTTTGTACTATTGTTTTTATATGCATGCCAATTTAATAAATAATATTTCTGCTACAAAACAAACGAAATAATATAATAAATAATTTAATCCAATGCTGAAAGCTGCAAAGCAGTCATCGGTAATTAAATAGAAAAATAATATACACCTCAAGAAAGAACGGACAAAAGAAAGGAAGAAAAGCCTAACTTTTAAAAGTTTTGGTTTCGGTTCGTATCGTTTTAATGCTCAGCCTCTTTATGCGCTGAATTACATTTTTCTGTGTTTGCGGGAAAGCATGCGAGTCAGCCGGCCCAATAAGAGGGGGGCAGAGCAGGATTCTCCCGATGCCCACCGGCGCAATACTGTTCTTTGTTATAACCCGCATCAGATCAAACTTAGTAAAGGCAAGCTTCTTTGGCGGTGGTGTTTTAGCGGACATTTGCGCTGTTGCAGCCTGCTCACGAGGAAACGTATGAAAAAGTTATGAATTGCCGTGAGATTGTGTTGGCTGAACACTGTGCATACAACGCATCAAGATTCAGTGTACTTTTCACTCTTCAGCCGTTTGCAATCCCCGCGGTCACAAAAGCTCCCTCCCTGTCATCTGACAGCGGAAAGTCTTGAGTGATTGACGGCTAATATGAACCAATATAGCGGCAGGGAAGAGCGAATTTACCACGTTTTTAGAAAGAAAAAAAAAAAAAAACAGGTCGCACTATAACCATAATATGCAGTCGCACGAATGCTCCCATTATATATTATGAGTCGCATAGCTTAAATTTCAGGCGCATATGCGACTAAAATGGTCGCAATTTCGAGCCCTGATATGTGTGTAGTAAATGAAACCATGTTATTCACTGAACACTTATTGTAAACAAATGTATGAAAGACTAACATGAGTCTGGATTTCAGCCCAGCACATTCCAATGGCCAGCTATCCAGTGGAGCACATGTATGACGCTTATGGTAAACCAATTGGTCATCCGGAATATCCTGGATATCCAATGGTGCCTCAGTATCTGATGATGCCCCAGGGTCCTTACCCTCCTCATCCTCCTGATCCAGGATTCAGTCAAGCAGGTACGCAGATGGCCTAGAAACCAGAGATCACACACTGTAGTGGACTTAAAAAAACGCAGTTGCAATAATATAACACAGAATTAAGCCGCTTTTCCTCTGTTGTGTCAAACCATCCTAAGAACATTCAGGTACGGTTTCAGTTCTATTTCCTCTGCAAGCCTGGTGTAGCACGGGATGGCACTCTAGACAACTGTGCAAAACCATGCTGGACTGGTAGCGGTGCGCATAACATTGTCACTCTATTGCCTGGCTGCCTGTTTCTCCATAGGCAGACACATGCTAATAATTAATAAAACTTTTGTTGTTCAACAAATAAATATAAAGATAAAAGAAAAAGAGTCCCAAAAACTGAAAGATCATATGATAATAGTCAATATCCCTGTTTACATTACACATGCTTACCAAAGCAAAGACTGGCACATTTGTATTACATTCCATTATCAGCACTACCATGGAATATAAAACTGTATCAATGAAAACTGTTTACCACTCAGGGTTCAACGCTAAGGATTTTTTTCTACTGGCCCGATTGGACCAGTGGTTCAGGTTTTTACTTGCCCTGCCAATATTGCCACTGGCCCCACCAAAAAGAGTTAATAGCTATTTCTTAGCCACAAATAAAAAAAAGGGTCAAAATGTTTGTAAATCTAGATATTTAATATTTAAAATATACTATAAAACTATAAAATATTTTTTAAAGTACAAAAATAGCAAAATGTGCTGGTATTTTATTGCAAAACAAAGGATGACTGAACTGCCAAACTAACGGCAAACTGTACAAAACATCACTTCATTTTTTTTTTTTTTTTTTTTTTTTTTTGTCGTAGTGTACCCTCGTAAATGTCGGCTTCCAAGACGTTAGAGACAAATGTTTTCCTCTAGCATCATCCCTTGATGTTGCCGCCATGTTGCTGTCTCTTAGCTGTAAAGGTTGTTACGGACAAAAATAGCATGCTCACAACATCCAATCAGATAAGAGGAACCGAGAAGGTAGCATTTAAAGGCTTAAAAACACAAACGGTTTCTCTATTCTGACTGTATTTGCATGCATTTCACAAATAGTCACAGGCAAATGAAACTTTAATGACAGGGCATTTGTGGCCCGATCGAGCCAGTAAGGATCCTGTCTACTGTCCCGAGCATCTCACACGCTGGCCCCGGGCCATCGGGCAGTCCTTATTGTTGAGCCCTGCCACTATAGTGGAAAAGCAGCTTAATGTTCAAAATCACTTATTTTTTTACCTTTAAAACACCAACATTATATACTTTCTCTCTGACTGATTGTGTTTGTATTGTCTAGCATACTATATTGTGTACAGATTTTTATGGTTTTTATATAGTTATATATTTCAATTTTATACCCAGAGAAGAACAATAACATTATACTTATATACATATATTTAAATGAACCACTGGTTTGTAATATCAGTTAAAGCTATTGCTAATATGTCAGTGGTGTTAAGTTGGGTAAATTGTTTACTTGTGACATTGGGGGCATTTATAAAACTCACTTAAGCCTGTGTTTTTCCTGTTTCCCATATTCACATTTGCATGAATGGAAAGAAATGAAAAGAAAACTTTGTGAATGTCCTTTTAAAAGTGTATAAACCCTAAAACAATGCTTTCAAATTGCACACACATAACACTTTGTCAATCCCTGAATATCAATATTGCACTACTTGTCAACACTGTAATGCATTTCCTAAGCTGTGTCATGGTTGTTTCCAGCTCCTCCACCGTACTCTCCTCCCCAGTACCCTGGGCACTGAAAGAGCTGAAGCCCTCCCTCTGCGAGGAGAAGATAACCTGTACAATGGGTAATGAAGAGGGCCCATGCTTGTTTGGAATCCCTTGTATGAGAATCCGTATAAAAAAGTTGAGTTATGTTATTTATTTCTTAATTTAAATTAATTTGTGGAGTGAAGCATGAACTGACCTCGGAATCGCCTCACACGTCGGAGTATTTTCTTGTTTGATGTCTCCTTCCACTTAAACCCAGCAACTCACACACTCAAAAGACTGCTATAGATGTGCCATTATGCTTTTGTCAAACTCTCCAACAAATGGTCCATTAGATATGGCTGTCCTGCAGAAGAGAATTGCTGACAGTTTTGACTCGCCCAGGATGTTGTTTTCTGTTCAACCAAATAAGAAGCATTTGTCATTCGCACTTTAAGCTGCAATAGACATGCTTAGCTGTCTCTCCCTGCTCGTTTCTTCGAAATGCATTTATTTCTGCATGTCATGTGCATCATAAACATCCGTAGGCTTTAGATGTTTTACAGACATGCTGACATGAGACAGGTATTTTATAGACAGTTCACATGCAGTATGTAAATAAGAGAGAATATAAGAAATGTTAGTGTCGCATAGCATCTTCACAACCAACTGAAACGTCATTGTGTGCGTTTGAAGTTTGTCATTTGTCGTTAGATCAGGCTTCAATTTAAGCCGTGATGTTAACATTCGTTAGATCTGCATGTCTTTAATTGTAACTCAAGCTACCTATAGGCCAGCTATCGAGGAGATCACTGTAATGTTTGCATCCTGTTAGCTGTCTATCTGTTCTTATTCATTTCAAAAAGATCGTTTTCAATCCGTAAAACATTATATTATATTGTTACTTTTTAAAAACAGTGTCATTTAAGCAAAGTCCCTTTAAGCTATGTTAATTTCCGCATATTTGTCATCATATTTCACCCAAAAATGAAAATTTGCTGTTTTATTAGTTTACTTTAAAAAGTTAAATACTCAAGCATTTATAAGAAGATTTTAAGCTGAAATTGAAGCATTTAGTGGATCAAAAATTGCAAGTCAACAGCTATATCAGCTTTTTTGAGAGTCAAAAAGCCATTCAATTTAGTTTTTCCAATGTATACTTTTTACTCTTAAAATGCCGGAAGATTTTGACTTGCATCTTATAAATCACTAATGCCTAGTTTTAGGTATTTATTTTATTTAATATGGTCACCAAGGTTTCCCAGAGATGGGTTGCTGCTGGATGGGCATCCGCTGCGTAAAAACGAGCTGGGTAAGTTGGTGATTCATTCCGTTGTGGCGTTTCCGGATTAATAAAGGGACTAAGCCAACAAGAAAATTAATGAATAAATGAATGAATGAATGGTCACTGAGAGAGCTTAACATGCTGCAATTTAAGAAAACATGCAATTACAAAAAAACGCCAGCAGATGAAGAAAAGATCTTCATCCATTTAACAGCACACATGCTGCAAATCCCCACAACATAAACAAATTACAAAAACGTGCTGCATTTTCTCACAACAATTTCAAAAAGAACTAAACTCAGCAGAAATGTTTCAAGGGGACCCAAAAAGGATAACGATAATGGCAGGACATTTTTAAAAGAAATCTCTGGTTTAAATGTTTGAATTAAGTTTATTTTACCTGGATATCTAAACACATGTTTATAAACAAAATGAGTATGACATGTCTTACTAAAGAGCGATTTTATAGACAGTTTACATTTTTTTGTGTACATGTATGCATCAAAGAATATATATTTCTTGCTACTGTATACCTTGTTTAGCCTTCAGATCACTTAAAATAAGTTTTGAAATCACTTTGAAAAAACGTCATTACAAATGTTATCAGCGCTTATTGACAGCAGCTGTTATGGTTGCCTGGTGACGAGATCTGTCCTCTGTAGGCTAGATCAGCTCATTTCAAAACGTTCGGTTCAGCCTGTGTGGACTTCGAAGGACTCACTTTGGAAGTGCAGCCTCTGAAATGAGACAAAGCTTATTGCTTAGTGAAGTTGTAGTTGATCTTTGAAAGGTGAGTATATACTTTTGAGTGTGTGACAGAAGAGTATGCAAGCTTTGGGACCTACTACTTCCTTGTTAACAGATAGTTATGTTGCTTAGTTACGAGCCCTATCAATCATCCACACATCATCCACATTTCTGTCATACTTAATTTCCTTCCATATTGGAGAAGCAGCAGCACAATAATCTCCCATTTAAAAGTCTTTCATGCTGAGAAATGTCCTCAGGTCTTTGGATAATTCTGCATTCAGACGTTAATGTTCAAAGTACACATCTTTATACAATTTCAGTATTGTTGTTGCAGATTAAATTTAACACAGAAAATGTGATTTAGATATTTTCCAGTGGGCTAAATATTAATAAACAGTCATACAAACATCTTTACCGAAGCTTCTCCATTTGATTTCTCTACTTGGTTGGTTTTCGCGCATCCATCATGTTTGCAGTTTTTTTTACACTTTTCACCCACGTTTGTAGTTCTAATGTACTGTGGGCAATATCAGCGGTTAGAGTATGAAAGCTTCTTTACTTAAAATTTTTACCAGAAATATTAAACCACCCTGGTACCTTTGGCATACTCTTTTCAACATACTACGATTTGGGACACACTAATTCTATTTTCAAATACTATTAAGGCGAATTGGGACACAGCACATAACCTAAATAGCCAGGTCTGTCACCCTTTTTGGGTCCCCTTGAATTATTTCCGCTATGTTCCATCCTATTTTAAGATGTTGTGAGAAAATGCAGCGCGATATCATAAATTGTTTGCATTGTGAGAAAATACAGTGTGTTTCATTAATTTGTTTGCGTTGTAAGCAAATGCAGCATTGCAGCTTGTATGCTGTCAAACAGATGAAGATCTTGTCTCAATTTGCTGGCGTTTTTTTTTTTTTTGTAATTGCACACTTTATTAAATTGCAGCATGTTAAGCTCTCTCGGCCACCATAACCAAATGTTCTTTTGAAGAGAATGTAATCACAGATGACCTGAAAGTGAGTAAATGAAAAGCAAATTACATTTTTGGAGTTAAATCTACAAACGTGAGTCAAATCTTTAACTTCAAGACAAAAACAAAAATCTGGCACTTTTCTTTGTCTATTTAAACTACAAATATGTGGTAATTTACCAGCACACAACATGTTTTCCCAGTTGAAATACAGTAATTAAAGTTGAGTACCTTAATTGGGAATTTTGCAAGGAACATTTTCCTGTTACAATTTTTTATTGTTATGCGACTTAAGATGGCACTTTTATTGCCTGCCAAATTTAGTGTTTTTCAATTAACACAAGCATCATTGTATTGTCTCTGCCTTATTTTCAAAGTTTATCATCAATTACATTTCGTCCAGTGGTCAGTTAGAATGTATTTAAAAAGAATTAGAAACTATCTCATTAGAAAAATTTTGTTCAAAATGATTCATCAGGTACATATGAGGTGCAATTTGTTTTGATTTTAAATGATTTGTGCTTCCTCCTCATTTCACATTAGTTGTGATGCTTTGTCCACTGTTTAAATAACCTGCTAGTTATTTAAATGAATGTAAAATTAACAGTGTTGTTTTTTGCTATATACAGCATATGCTACAGTTTTGTCACTTTGAAATGTGAAGTACAAACAAAGAGGAATTTTTACAATGTGGAATATTAACATGTATTTCAAGAGGAAAAAAGGGAATTAATAGGCTACTAGTGTTTGAACTTGCACTAATCAATCCTATAAAAGAGCACTAATTGAACAGACTGGAAAAGGAGTATTGCGTAAATCTCTTTTTACAATAAAAAAAGTTTTGACTTTGCATGCAGTCTCTGATTATTGCTAGGAACGACAAGCAAACATAATTGGTCTATATATTTTATTTTATTTTGTTTAGTTTCTTTATTTATTTAGTTAATTTTGGTCTATTGTTTTAACAAGACAGTTTTTATTTTAAAGTGTTGGAGTTGCTTTTTTAGCAGTTAATGTTAGCTTTCACAATTAATGCTTGACATTGAATAATTACTTAAGTGGTTTCCATTTTAGATGACAGTATATAATATGTATATAATAAAAGACAATTTGGCCCACAGTTTGCTTCTAATTTACAAACATAACCCAATATCATTTCAAATTTATGAATAGTCTACAAATCTTCTGCACCACAGTAAACTGATTCCTTGAATAGCAGAGCAGCCTATTATAGTATCTAATCTATTTCTATAACCCTGGAAAAATATTGTCAGTACTCCAGGAATCCTGATTTGTTCAGTGACCAGGAAGTATGTTTCGGATGCTTTTGAGTTTTACTAAACCATAGCCTTCCCAATTGCCTTTAAAGGACTATGTACCCCCATCTAAATATGGGCATGAGCTCGCGTTGGATTTCAAGGAATGTCCGAGCACCACAAACCAGGGCTGATAGTCCATCGCCCTGCTCCTCGAGTTTCTTTCAACATCCAGAAAGGCTTCAATTTGACTCCTTTTTGTCCTCCATCTACTATTTCTATTATATTCACATTTGACTGGTAAAGTAAGTCAAAAACGCACGGATAACGTTATCTTCAGCATATTCTTCTGAAATCTGCGTTAATACTGACAGCGACCATGTCCAGGAGGAAAGTGAAGGGACTCACTAAAACCGGCAGACAGGTGAGTGAGGACCCGGAACTCGACAGTTTACTGTCAAACCTGTCGACTGCAGAAATGGAAGAGTTGGAGAAAGAGGTGTCGGTTGTTCCCGATCCAGATCCGAGTGAAATTATCGTTGTGGACCAAACGGATTTAAAACCAAGCGCTCCGGTTAGAAAGGAATCGCAACTGAGCAGCCAGACCGACGACTTCAAATCCCGCTTCCAGAGAAACCTGTCAACTGAGGTAAATATATTCCATCACAGGTCGGTCTGTGTTGTAGAATGTAAATATAAATTCCTAAACTTGAAATTACATACTTAAATCCAAATTAAAAGTAAACTTTTAGGGTAGCATATAAAAGTCCTATTTTATTACTCCTGTGGCAAGTAAATATAGCTTTTGTATCATTTACATGTTTGTGCTTTGTTAATAAAGTAAAGATGTAAATGTTTTGGTTTTAAATGTTGTCTATATAATAAAAGCTGGGTAAATTGTTCTTAAATTATTTCTAATGGAAACTGCAGTTGGCCCAGATGAAGTTCTTGGGTTAATTGCTCCTTTGCTCACTGCCTTTTAAGGATAAGTCTGCCAAGGCTGGAGCTTTCCAGTGCAAAACAGTGTGTCTCACAAATCAAACACTCAGCCACTGTGCAAGTTTACATCTTCACTTTGAAACAACCACTATAGTGTAAACATCCCATGTGCATGCAGCACAGCTTTTGTTTCAGTCTCAAAGCAATAGCATTAGTTGTAATTTTAAAAGGAATCACTCACCCGAAATGAAAACTTGCTGTTAATTTACCCAGGCCATGTCTTTCTTCTTCTTCGTCTTCTTCTTCTTCTTCTTCAGTAGACCATTAAAGAAAATATTTGGCTGAAACTGGTTCTTGGTGATTCATAAGAGTCATGCCAATGGCTGCCAAAACTTTAAAGAGTAAAAAAATACACAGGCATATATACTGTGGTTTCTGGTAATACATTATGAAGCAAAAGACTTGCTGTGTGTATCCCAGAATGTCATGAATGCATTCTAAACCGCCTGCCAAATCTGTTTGTGGATCAATTAAAGGCATTCATTTTGTAAATAACATTCAGTATTTTACCCTTGAGTGTGTCATCAAGAGCCACAGGTATTAGTTTTGTTTCACTTGTATGTGCTTAATTTAATTACATTTTATGAATCACTAAAAACCAAGGTTTCAGCTAAAAGTGCTCTTTATTATTCAGCTGAAAAAGTCACCTAAATCCTGGTTGACTTAAGTAACTAAAATAACAGCAAGGTTTCATTTTTTAAATGAACTATACCTGTTATCATTATCAAGTCATTTATATGTTTTTTTTTTTTTTGCTCTTCAAAATATTAATAAAATATTAGTAGTTGTTGCCCAGTTTCTCTATAATTCAAACATGTTTGATCCCCAGGTAGAGCCGAAGAAGGAGAGCCGGAAGCAAGAGTATCTGCGTAAAATGGGCCTGAGCCAAGAGAAAAATATCTCTGCGTCTGACAGCAGAGATGGAGGACTTCAGAGGACGTCCTCCACCTCTTCCTTCCCTAAACGTGATAGTAGATTGGAGGACAGGACCCGCAGAGTCACAGAAGGCACCAGAGATGAAAAATTCGGCCCATCTGCTGTTTCCAAGAGAGACGAGGAGATTGAGAAAAAAAATGAGACAAAGGACCAAAACGATGGGAGTAGATTAAGAGACAGAAGAGAGATGAGAGAAAGTAGCAGCAGCAAAACCAAAGAATTAATTTCCAAGCTTCAAGAGAAGAAGGAGGATAGTAAAGAGAAAAATAAAAAAGAAGACAGAGGGAAGAGGGAATCTGGAGAAAGTAGAGCAAAGGAGATGATTTCTAGGATACAAGAGAAAGAGGAGAAGGAACGGGAGAAAAAGGAAGAGATTAGAAAGAGAGAGGAGACTAAGAGTAAAGGCTATATATCCAGGTTAGAGGAGAATCAAAATCAGGTTCATGAAGACAAGACGAAAGAAGAGAATAAGCACAGGGATGAAAAACAAATAAGGTCAAGCGAAAAGGTAAAAGAGACTACTGCATTGTCTGAAAATAAAGAGAAAGAATCTGAAAATGTGAAAAGGCTTCAGGAATGCAATGCAAAATCAAGTGACAAAGGAAGAGGGGATGTTCAGAAACACAATGAAAATGTAAATGAAGTTCATAAACCAAAAGAAGAGAAAATTGAAAACTGTGTCTCGGACACTATTTTGAAAGGTAAGACCAAAGAGGAGGAAGAAGATGACGAGTCAGCCAGCATGTTTGATGAAGATCTGGAGAAAGTTCGTCGTAATGACCCAGGCATGACTGATCTCAACGTGAACAATTCTGAGGTCATAAAAACCAAAACTCTTATTCAGTTCTCTGAGGCATTGAAAAACAACACGCACATCAAAGCATTTTCTTTGGCAAACTGTCGCGCTGATGACCATGTGGCTTACGCTATTGCTGACACCTTACGCAACAACAAAAGCATCACTAGCATCAATCTGGACTCCAATCTTCTTACTAGCAAAGGCATCATGTCTCTGATTCAAGCCCTTCAACACAACTCCACACTCACTGAGCTACGTTTCCACAACCAGCGACACATTATCGGAGGAAAATCTGAGATGGAGATGACCAAAATTTTGAAAGAAAATACCACTCTACTAAAACTAGGTTATCACTTTGAGTTAGCTGGACCTCGTATGACCATGACCAATATTCTTAGTCGGAATATGGACCGTCAGCGGCAAAAACGGCTCCAAGAGCAGAAGCAAGCTCAAGCACAAGGAGCTGGAGACAAGAAAGATTCATTAGGAGTTCCAAAACCCAGCTTTGGTAAAGGCTCCCCCAGAGCATCACCAATACCTTCACCCATACCGTCACCTGCTCCGTCACCCAAGTTGACTCATAAGAAAAGGGTAAGTGGGCTTGTTGGTGGACCACCACCTCCTCCACCACCACCTGGAGGACCACCGCCACCTCCACCACCAATGCTAGACGGAGACTTTCTGAAGAACTCCTTAACGCCTGTGTCTCAGAGGAAGCTGGACGACAGGAGTGGAGGAAGAGGAGCAGCTCAAAACACACGGGACCAACTTCTAGCTTCCATTAGGAACAGCAATGTTAAGCAGCTCAAAAAGGTAGGAAATGGAAATTAAATATCTAATGATAGCTATTTTTATTTTAGTCAAAGATAACACAAAGGTAATCACAAAACAGTTTTGAAATGTTGGTTTTCATTATTACGGAAAACCAAAATTGTTTGCTCCCTAAACCTAACTTGTTGGGTCACCCTTAATCAGCAGCAGCTGCAGTCAAGCATTTTCAATAACTTGCAATAAGTCTGTTACAGCGCTGTGGGGGAATTTTGGCCCACTCCTCTTTGCACAGTTGTTGTAATTAAGGCACACATGAGAGCTTTTGAGCATGAACTGTTTTTAAGGTCATGACACAGCATCTAATTTGGATTCAGGTTAGGACTTTAACTAGGCCACTCCAAAGGCCTCATTTAGTGTTCTTGCAGTGTTACTTTTATGCCACATATAATGGGACACACACCTTTCAAAAAAGTTCAACTTTTGCTTCATCACTCCACAGAGCATTTTCCCAAAAGTAGTAAGATGATTTTACGTAAGTCGTAAAGTCGCAAGATTTTTTCTGGCAAAACTAAGATGAGCCTTTCTGGCCTTTTTGCTCAGCAGTGGGGTTCGTCTTGGAATCTGCCATGCAAACCATTTTTGCCCTGTCTTTTTCTTATGGTGGAGTCATGAAGACTCATCATAACTGAGGCAGAAGAGGCTTGTAGTTCTTTGGATGTTGTTGTGGGGTCTTTTGTGACATCCTGTTTGAGATGTATGTGTGCTCCTGGGGTAATGTTGGTCAGCCAGCCACTCCAAAGAATGTTCTTCACTGTTCCATGTTTTTGCCATTTGTAGATAATGGCTGTGTAGATAACATTGTACATCATGATCATGGTGTATTCTGCTGCAGTTCCAGATAGGTGGATGTCAGTTCTTTTCTTTCTCATTTGTTTTTTTTATTTATTTTTATTTCTTTGGATCTTGGCATGATGACTAGCTTTTGAGGATCTTTTGGTCTACTTTACGCAGATATTATTTAAGTGATTTCTTAATTGCAAACATGTTAGATAATCAGAGTTAAGTTGTTTTACCAGTGTTTAAAAACACTTTTTCCACACAGGGCTATGTAGTTTTTCACTTTTTTCCACCACTGTATTTATGGAATGTAAAAACTACACTAGATATTAAATAAACATACAAAAAAAACTTTTCATACATTGTGTATTAGTTAAAGGTTATTGTTTAATGTAGTATAATTAAATCTGGTACAATTTATGTTATTCAGTTTATAACATTTCTTAATTAAAGTGTATACAATTATTATATTGTTGCTAAAACTGTTTTTATTGTGTACTGTAGATTGTAGTTGATGAACAGTACAACACATAACATTTCAAATTTCATGTTTTTTTGTACTTCAGATACATTAGAATAAACTTATTTTGCAGATAAAAAAAATCATCCAAATTTTAAATAAACATTAGAAATGTGCTTTGCTTTCATTAAAATTATAGTTGGTCAGAGAATGCTGAACAATATAATTTGTAACAGAAAATCAGCGTTATTCCACCAAAATCTTTATCTTTAACACTTTCAAAGTTTTTTATTTACTTTTGAAACTTTTTATTTTGTTGTTGAAATATTATTTAAAGATGTCCAAAAAAACTTTTTTTTGCACAAAAAGAAATCACAAACACGTTTAATTTAAATGTAATCTAAATTAAACTAATGGCATCAGTTTACAATAGTTCACAGAATAAAACTGACCTTTTTTTCAAACCCATTATTGATCGTAAATCCAGAGAAACTAACAAATGTCAAGCGGTCCCTTGAGGTCTTTAGGTATATATTTCCTTTTTCACTTTACCCTGAGAAAATGCTCAATATAAATCTTTTTTTCACAGGTTGCAGTACCAAAGCTTTTGCAGTAAGTGCAAAGAGATAGATGTGGATAAAGAAAAAGCCAGGAATGAAAGGACAGACATCTCACAGACCTTGAGAAGATCATCGCTCAGAATCTTCCATACAGAGTCTTACTACAGTTAAGAGGACAGGCAAAGACTGGTATATATATATATATATATATGGGGATATTCACAGCTTCTGGCCAAGAGTCTTTGTACAAATACACTGGACGATAGGAAGACATGAAAGTGTGGCGCAGTCATGGGTGCTCAGAGGATCCGATGGCCTATGGGACTGCAGACGTGAGGCCTTGCTTGTCATTTGCACTAAATGAATAATTTCTAATGATAGATTTATGAATGTGTGTTTGGTACAGTGTGTGTGTGGATGTTTGTGTCTGAATTAGAATGGCATCTGAATTAAACAGCTGGATGTTATCCTACATTATTAAAAATATCAGTGAATTAACAGGTAACATGATTTTGTATTTCATTATGGGATCTGTAACTTCCAACAACTTTTGATGTTAAAATGTTTTTGAAAAGTGACTTTTATTGCCATTTATAAAAGTTTATAGTAACATATTGTCTGGGTTGATGTTGTAAATGATGGTATAATAACCTGGTAATAAACTGTGAGTACTTTTTTGCTATTTTACGTACATATTTCTCTCTATTTTATTTCTTACAACTACTAAAATGTCAATGAAAGTCGCATTGTTAAACTGCAGTGTTGAATTATTTTCAACATCAAAAGTTGACTGCAGAGATCAACAGTCCCATAATGCAATTGATAATCATAAACAGGAAAATCTTGTGAATCGCAAAATACCTGAAAAAAAAAGCCTGGTAAATAACATATTACTTTTACAGTGTAGTATTCAAGTTATATCTGAATAAAAGCTCTTGCTGATCAGGGAAAAATGATTCGAATCAGAAATCACATAAACAAAGGTGTTGTTTCCAATACACTCTACTTTGAATGAGTGAGTAAAAGAGAACAGGATTACAGAAAGGGATGGATGATCAGATCTATGTGAATATGACTTCGAACACATACAGTATTTATTTTGATCTGAGTTCCTCGTTAAGCTTTTATGTAATTCATTGAGTATATACATGTTAATCGCTACCAATTGTGATTAAATATTTTGCATTTGTAATTTATTAAATGATATCAAAACAGTTTTTACTTTGGGAATGGAAGCAATGTCAGCACAAATATTTGCATGTGCCTCACATGCTTTGAAACCAGTTGCGTATATTTTTTATGCTTGTACAAAACGATCTCAGTTTCTTAAGAATGCAGGATGCAGGATATTGAACATGAATTCACTGTTCTATTTTCAGGTTTCAGCTGGGAGAATTGATGGAGTAATTCCATTTGTTTTATTTAGAAAACAAAGTGTTTTTTGGATGTATCTTGTTAAAGATGTTATTGGTCCAAGAAAGACACCCGGGTTGTGTGATTTTATTTTATTACTTCCAGGTCATTGTCAGAATAATTTTTGTGTCTCTTTTAATAATGTTTTCTTTGTTAATGTCTCTATATGTGCAATATTATGTCCTAGTAGAAGCTAACCATGGTGGTGGCCGTAATTGTTAGAATATTTAATGCAATTTCACAGCAAATTTTAATTTAGTGGCTAATTCGTATGAATTCGTACAATCTAATTTGTACAAATTAGTACGATATGCTCAGCACCCAATTCAATTCACCTTTATTGGTATAGCGCTTTTACAATGTAGATTGAGTCAAAGTAGCTTCACATAAAACATCATAGTAATATGAAACAGTTTTCAGAGTCTAAGTTCTGTTCAGTTTAGCTCAGTTCAGTGTGGTTTAATAATCACTACGGAGAGTCCAAACACTGAAGAGCAAATCCATCGATGCGCAGATCTACAGATCCCGAATCATGGAAGCTAGTGGCGACAGCGGCGAGGAAAAAACTTCACCAATTGGCGAAAGTGAAGAAAAAAAACCTCGAGAGAAACCAGACTCAGTTGGGCACGATCATTTCTCCATTGGACCAATGACGGTTGGGTTTAGTGGTGGGGTTAGGTGCCTCCTTTTTAAAATTGTATATTCTTGTATGACTGCACTCTACAAATTAGCCACTAAACTAACAAAATGTAAAATGCTTAAGTTTTCTCGTGAGATCAGGCTGGAACATCCCACAGATCTGAAAATATTGAGTTTTTCTATGTTCAAAACATGATTAAAATTCATTATGTTAATTTTATGTTATTAAGTAGTCCTCAAAATAAGGTATAACAATTTTGGGTTGTCAACACATGTGTAAAATATGGAAAAATCCAACTGCTGGGATTAAAAGTGTAAGTTTAATTGAAAAAAAAACAACAATGCTGTCCATATTTTACCCAATGTTGGGTTACAAAAACCCAAAACCTTTTTGCACTGTTAAAAAGTATCAGTTGAACTGACTTGTAAAGTTCATTTGATTCAGCAACAAAAAAAATAAGGAATCAACTATTTTTTAAAGTGTGGAAGGATGTGTAAATTATGAACAAACATCTTCAATTGGTTATCTTTATGAATATTAGTCACAGAACCTGGAGTATAGTAAGTGACATAGTATAAAACTACAAAATACTAAGCATCTTTTAAATTTACCTCAGCCTAAGTAATTTTATCAAAACATAAATATGCCATGCGTTCTTTCGAGTTCATAACCATAGACAGGATAAATTATATTATTATGTACCATATAGTTGCAATCCAAACAACTACATTCTCGCCTAAAAAGCCTCAAAAGTACATTATGTTGTCCGACAGCAGCAATATTTGTCAAACTGTAGTAGGTTTATTTCTTTGTTAGGCACTCTATGTGGATGGAGTAATACACAAGGGTAAAGAGGCTGTACGAGTGCTGTTATTGCAGAATATTGCACGATTATCAGCCAATCAGATTCAACAACCAACTGTTGTATGGATGATTATAGTGAATTCGGAATACCCTTCATACAAGAGGCATAAATAAAGGCATAAAAAAGCCAGTGATCTAATGCATTCCTGGAAATGTCACGAAGTTCTGCTTAGCTCATTTGGTCACTGCTAGAATAAAGAACTATACATGAAGCTTATGGTGGACAGCCAAAGTAAACGAACAACATGGGTAACAAAAGAGCCCACCATTTGTTACGTAAGATAATAAATGAACCGGGTTTCAGGTCGCAAATTTCAAAGTCTTATTGTAGAATTATGTTCTTGGGATGAATGACAGATGCTTCTTTCAATGCATAGATTAGAAGTAATTGCTCTGGGGTCTTTCTACTTTTTCTTTCAGAAATGACTTCTCCTTCAAACTCTGGAGGTTGATTGGATTGAAAGCGAGCTAGTTTATATTTTGATTGCCCGGACTAACCCTCAGCACTGCTGAAATGTCTATATTTGGTCATTTCTCGATGCAGGCTCAGTCTGCGTATCATTCCTTCCCTCTTCCTAATAATGGAAACACAGCCAACAGCCTGTCGGACTCAGAGCAAGGCAACATCAAGGAGCAAGAGAGATTCTTGACTTTAACATAGAGCCATTACCCAGCCAAATATTTCTGTTTAGGAAAAACTAAGGCCAGGTCATTTTGATTCACTTGCCACTTGACAACATCTATTTGCAAGATATGAACCTGAATTTTGCTTTCAATAAAAGAAATACAAATAAAATCAATTTGGACACGGTGGCTCAGTGGTTAGCACTGTGGCCTCACAGCAAAAATGGTACAAGACTGGGCCAGTTGGTGTTTCTGTGTGGAGTTTGCATGTTCTCCCTGTGTTGGCTTGGGTTTCCTCCGGGTGCTCTGGTTTCCCCCACAGTTCAAACACTTGTGCTATAGGTGAATTGGGTAAATAAAATTGGCCATAGAGTATGTGTGTGAATAAAGGCAGCTGGAAGGGCAATCTGCTGTGTAAAACATATGCTGGATGAGTTGGCGGTATAAAGAAAATTGAATGAATGAATGAATCAAATTAATTTGCAAGATGAAGTGTTATTAATAACATTTTACACTTTTCAGATATAATTAGATGTTAATTTATAAACATCAAAAAATTGGCATTTCCCAGAGATGGGTTGCGGCTGGAAGGGCATCCGCTGCGTAAAAACTTGCTTGATAAGTTCAACCCCGGATAAATGAAGGGACTAAGCCGACAAGAAAATGAATAAATAAAAATGAGCAGTGTTGGGGCGTAACTTGTTATTTACAATGGCATTACATAATTTAATAAAATGTAACTGTTGTTATCCATTACAGTTTCTGAGAAATGCAAAATTCAACTAAATTGGTTAAATCTGTATATTTTTAGTAAAAAGCTTCAAGAAGTTAGAAAATATTCCGATTTTTTTCTCTTGTTTAAATTTGTTTAGTTTAGGACAAAGAATAGGAAACATGCCTATTCTATAAATGTTTTGTTTCCTGTAGTTAGTTGGTTAGTTCTATATAGTTCCTATTAGTGTTGTCACAATACCACTAGTTCACATTACAATACTTTACCAGCTTAAGTATTGTAATACCAAGTAGTATTGCGATACTGTAATTCATAACTCAAATTTATGAAATAAAGAAAATGGTCAGAAAAGCTATTTTATAAGTTATAACAGGCCTACTTGAATTGAATTCATAATTCTCTTATTATTCTAAAATGTATTTGCACATTAATATAATACATTAAAATAAAGATACAAATTATACCGAACAGAATTTATTACAAAAAGAGCAAATTAGGCAATAAAAAGAGGTCAAAAATGGTTTCGATGTTTCCTGTTGCTCTTTTTGTTTTTCATCTATTGTTTTTTATTTTTATTTTTTCCTTATCAGGTAAGAATCCAAAGTAGGCCTAATTATAATTTTTACTTTGTGAGTCGTTGTTTTTAAGAGATTGTTGTGTTTGGTGTAGCTACTAAATCATATTGACAGGAACAGAAATGAACTGATTCAGATGTGCGTTTAAACTGAAGTGTCAAAAATCGTAAAACCATAAAAGGTGCAAATTTTACACAGTTTTGCAACCTTTGACTGCTTTATTCTAATAAAATGGACTATTGTTGCACAAACTTGTGAGCAATTTAGTAACTTTTCCACACACATTATTTATTGTAGATAGACCATTAATGACGATACTACCATATACAAACTACAGTGGTATTGCCAGTATTTTGGAGCCATAGTGTCACGATACTACCATAGTACCAGTAAATGGTGCAACCATCCTATATAGCCTAGCCAACAGTTATGACAGTGTTTCTTATTAAAGCTATAATTTCAAAACATTAATTATGAAATAAATAAATAAAAACTATTTCATATTATGATTTTAAATTTGTACTTACCATCAGAATGGTTTCAAGGTAAAAAAATAAAATAATGCTACATTATGATTATGTGTTGGCAGTTAAAACATTTATTAGAAATTTCGAAATGTTATTAAAAAAACACCATCAGTTACATTACTTTCAAAAAGCACTTAAATTAATTAGGTACAACTTTAAATATTGTAACTTGTGATCTTTCTTAAAACTTTAAACCATGAGCAAAAGATCACAAAGATCTATTTTTTCACCTTTGTTGTTCATAGTGAAAAGAGGAGTCCTCGTAAACTAGAATACTCCCAAGTCTCAGCTGCCGGCAAACGAATGACAACGTCGCGCACCTCTGATGATATATGATAATGATAATATATAATTGAGTCACATTTTTTGACTTTGAATGGTTTGGTGGTTGTAAAACTTCCTCCACTAGAGGGGCGTCTTTGCAATGTTCACACAGAAAGAACCAGCGAAAAACGCACGAGGAACCTTACGTCACTTGCAGCAACAGCACGTGCTTGGTTACGTCAGTTGTGAACGGGAAAAGAACAAAATGGAGGAGTACGCGAGGGAGCCGTGGTGAGCCGACAGCCTCAAACCTATTATTTTATACGTTCAGTGAATTTATATGGTTTTATTTCTCTAACGGTCATACTGTAGTATGTTATTTCTACGCTGTAATTAATTGTCAGGGTGTCTGACGCTCGCAATATTGTGATATGGTGGTTTTGATGGAGTTTTTTTTAACACGATGCCCTTCAGTGAAGGCTTCATGCTGTCAGTGCCGCACATGACCTTGTTCTACCGGCTTCAGAGATCACTAGATTTTGTTTTTGTATAATGTCTTCCAGAAATGTCTGTTGTGTAAATTCGTCGACTGTTAAACGCAGATTATAGATTACAATATACGTAACAGTTATGCTTGCTGGTTTCTGCAAATCACCTGGGTAGCCTTACGGTAAATAACTATGTAGTTATGAAGTAACTATGTACAATGTAATAACCGTGTTTGGTCCTATTGATCACTGTTGGTTTTATCAGATATGCAACAGGCAAACTATTTTACCAAACTTGTTTTTACTACGAATAATACCAAAAGACGTGTTTTTGTAACGTTGTTTTATCCATGATATAACCACCACACTTACCCTATGTTAACTACAACAAAGTTTCTTATTTAGTGAAAACCATAGTAAATGTTCACAAGGGTGGACGTATAAAGTA